ATTCCCTGTGGCCAGGAATTAAGACGTTGTCTGGCCAGCTAATAAAAGAATATGCCAAATATATTTAATAAATATATACCCACCGCCTCAACCCCAGTGTTTCTTCCATATTTTTTTTCTCCGGGGAGGGGGGGCATTTTAAATTTGCGGGGGGGGGGAGAAGGGAAGGGACTAAATTTGGGGGGGGGGGTGACGGTCGGACACTGTTAAAAGTACATTTCATTCGGGGGGGGGGGCGGTAGTCTTTCTTTGGGGGGGGGGGGGGGGGGGGGGGGGGGGAGAAACTCTGCTCAACCCTAGCCACTGCTGTCTTAATGTATTCTATAATTTCTTAACTTCAGCCAGAAATTTTTGTCAAAAAAATATAGACGGTGCTTATAAAAACTATCTTTCAGTGCACTAAGAAAACAACAAAGTGAAATAAGGGGGTTGGGGGGGGGGTACATTTCATGAATGTAAAAGAATTTACGCAAGCTTGTGTGTGCCTATCCAATAATGCAACTCTAAAGCGTTCGGTACTAAGGCCCAAAAAGTTTTTGTTAAATATCGATTTCGATACGGCTCAATAGTCATACAAGTGCTCCCGCGTTTATTAAAGACTTAAATAATTACAATAAATCAGCTTATATGACCTTACTCTAGATACAACGTCGTTGCACCCGCCACATGTCGAAACGCCTGCTGGAGTGGAATCAGGTATGTAGGCCTCCCTGCTTAGCAATTACTTTTGTAATGTTCAAATAGTAAATGTATAGTAGCCTATCTAATATAGTTCGAATTAATCATGTGTTTGGAGTTAGAAACCGAGTGCATTTAATATATATATATATATATATATATATATATATATATATATATATATATATATATATATATATATATTTGTATGTATGTATGTATGTATGTATGTATGTATGTATGTATGTATGTATGTATGTATGTATATATATATATATATAAATAAATAAATAAATATATATATATATATATATATATATATATATATATATATATATATATATATACATATATATGTATATGTCGTTTTATAATTAAGGGGCTATTAACTACAAATGATCAGTAGGTGAATCAGATTAGAAAAAAAAGAAGTAGAATCATACACACACATATATGTCAGTTAAGGGCATACAGTTTATGGTATGACTAAAACAGAGTTACGGTTAAGTTAAGGTTCAAGCAATACTAGCCCGAAATATTTTCAGGCCTTCTCTCTCCCCCACCCCAATTTAAATTTTAAAATTTCATTCGTAGTTTTTATTCTTCCTTTTTATTTACCTGTAAAGTTCAGGTGAGTGAAGATTACACGGCTCAAAACATTTTCAAGAATGCCGCAACACGTGATAAATCCATTATGGGAAGGGTGGGTGTAAAATTTAAAATTTTCTTTAAAAACGCTGTTACTTGAGGCTAGTTGGTGCTTTATCTTATTTCTCGGCCAAAACATTTTAATTTAAGACATTTTTACAGTCGGGCTAACCTCAATAGTTAAACATAAGCCCCTCTGTCCCTAAATTCACTGCCCCCCCCCCCCTCGGAGTGTCACCCCTTTAAGTCATGTTGACAAAGAACGATTTTGAAAATCAAATTAGGTTTCGAAAAACTTGCAAAGCAATTATCAATAGGCTACACAACACTTCTTTTGACTGTCTTTGTTTTTGCAAAGTTTTTTCTACATAGAATGGCTGGATTAATAAGGTGATTTACTGGCCTACACTCTATGACTCCATAGGGTGCCTTGACGCTGACCTCTGTACTAATGTGATAGTTCATTTCAAGACAACCGCCCATTTTGTTGAACTTTAAAAAAAAAAATCCTTACCCCCCTCCCAAACGTCAATACAAATTGGTTTTACAATATAATAATAATTATAATTAAAAATAAGAATATTGAAATTACATTAAATAATTTTAATAACTAATAAAAAATGGTGATTTTGTTTTTCAAAAAAATAAATAAATCTAAATGTTTTTTTTTTTAAATAATTAAAAAATGAGGAAAATAGCGGCGTTGTAGGCTTATTATTTTGCTCAATACCACCGTCAAAGCACCATCCCACTACATATAAGCCTGCTACAGTTACAATATAACAAAACAAAAAATACCCCCACCCGGCTCTGTTAGTGTTCTATATTCACTATGCGTGTGGGTAACAGGTGCGTAAAAATTGTCTCATTTTGAATTTATGTAAATACATAATCCAGGGTTGTTTTTTTTTTTTGAAAGGTTGCAGGCTTGGTCATGAGGCAAGGTTTAACTGAGGGTCAGGGTTATAACACTGCTCGTCTCATGGATTAGGATAACAAAAAACATAACCCTTCTGCTAGACGTTCACTGCACAAAATGAACGGCCTAATCTCTAAGAGAACTTGCTTATTCCTTAGTGACATTTATTTAAAGGCACTACTAAACTAATGTTATAACTATTGCAAGGTAGGGTATCGTCCATAAAATGTGTAATTCGATTTTTAGAAGACTTAGCAGTTCACCTCCTCTCGCTATTGGCATACTTGATCGCAAAAAGTCAGATCCCTCTATCAACTGACGTCATAGTTTATGCCCCCCCCCCAAAAAAAAAACAAAAAACAACAACAAGCAAACAAAAAACAACAACCCATAAAAAAACCCACAAACATCGACTGCTACTGCTTGTTTAACCTTACTTATAATCAGTAGCGTCACAAGGTGGAGCAAGGGGTGCAGTCCCTGGTGGTGACATCAGGGGCGTAGCCAGGGGGGTGGTGGTGGTGCGGACCGCACCGGGTGACACAATTTAGGGGGGTGACACCAAGGCAAAAAATAGCAAAATATATAGAGAAAAACTTGAGGGGGGAGGTGCAAATCGAAAGTTTGAGGGGGGGGGGGGGGGGAGTGCAAATCGAAAACTTGAGGGGGGGGGGGGTGCAAATCGAAAGTTTGGGGGGGGGTGCAAATCGAAAATTTGAAAGTTTGTCCCCGGGAAGGGTCGCTACGCCTCTGGGGGGTGACACCATTAAGTGCCGCACCGGTTAACACCCGACCTCGCTACGCCACTGGGTGACATCATTTAGGAGGTTACACCAAATCGAAAAATTGTAAAATTTACTATCAAAACAATGATTAATCTAGTTAAAATAATGAAATAGTCGGGGAGAGGGGTAACACCAAAACAAAAAAAGCAACATTTTTGGAGGGTTGGGGTGATACCCCCATTTACCGCACGGGGTAACATCCTGTCTTGATTCGCCCTTATTTAAAATGAGGAACATAAAACCGAGACGACACTTCAATACGAACCAGAGTTTCTTCCCGGCATCTCTTCACCCCCCCCCCCCCCAAAACGAAATGGAATTTATATAGAAAACATACGTTTCCCAGTGTACACCTCGGAAAATAAAATGTAGTCCGCTCCCGCCCCCTAAAATAACAAGTGCCCCCCCCCCCCCCCCAGGAAAAGTCTGGAAGAAACACTGCAACGAACTCAATTCGTGTACACTTTGGTAAAAGTTAAGTTCCCTTTCAAAACTGACTCTCTATGAGCTAAGTGAAGTATGTTTTACCTGTTTCTGAGACCTCGGCATAAGAAGGGATAAAGTGGTCAGTACTTTGCCCAGCCGTCTTTTTTTTTCCTAGCGAAAGTCATGTGCCCAACAGAGCTGGGTGGACTAAGTGATGCTTTTACAGACTTGAATCTGGAGTCTACTTTTGTAAAGCCATGAAAATTCAGCCTCCCTTTTATATCTCTCTTTCGAATGATGTCCGCCACGACATATTGTTAGCCCCCCCCCCCTCTTCTTACTTTTTGTTTATTTAGCCGTGACGCTTGTTTTCTGCTTTCTGTGTTACCATATATACAATATAACACTTTTTATTTGTTCTAAGGATTCTCGGTTATGTTTTTCTTACAATGCATTTGTATTCCACTCAGGCCTTAGCAATTTAAACAGCATGTCGTCCTTGTTGGTTTTTACCGGTTTCCGGTACCATCTCAATTAGACCGGTTAAGACTACTTCTTCAAACAGTAGATTTGGTCTCCATTTGTTGTTGACTATATGGGAGAAGACAGAGATCATCTACGAAATTACATGTCTATGTCCGTCACAGAGTTATTCTTCGCGGAGGGGGGGGGGGGGGGGCGAAGCAAGTCAGCCGCCCCACCCCTAGAACAAAATAAAATGTGTTTATTATATAGAACATATACTTTAACCTGATTAACCAGTGGTCTCTCTCCCCCCCCCCCCCCCTCTTCGAACTCCCCGGAAGTTTAAGCGCCACCCCCTATGACAAAAACCCACTGGTCTGTTGGATATGAAAAAAAATATTGTGAGAGCATCCTTTTTTGTGTTACTCTGATTTACACTTTAAAGATTTCTGATAACTTGTCAGTGTGTATAACAATTAACATTTTGAGTTGTGATATGATTGTTTGATAAGTGCGATAAGTTTACGTGCAACTGCCCAGCCTACAATATGAAATGCCTTTTTCATAATCTATAAACTATACAAATAGTATGGAAATCATTATGTGTAGGCTTACTACTACTGCTCGGTGATAATTCTGTTTTGCTTTGCCATATATTATATGTGCAGGAATAACATTTTCTTAACATGCAAGCTCCTAAGTAAATGTCCAAAACGTCCTTACCTATCTAACGATTATGATTCAATGCAGCACTCTGCTAAGTATTGATAGTTAGCCTAGGGCGCTGGTACGGATAATTGCGCCTCAGTGTACCAGATGCCATTATGCCAAAATTTAACTTTCTGGTTTAAATGAAATATTGTGAATATAATGTAAATAACCATACTCATGAAAATTTCATTAGTTTTCATATTCTTGCAGGTTAATGCTCACAGAAATAGGTGGGGGGAAATATTACAGCGAACAGTAGCCTATACTACTTTTACTTAACTCCCCTGGAAACGGATTGTTTATTATCGATTAGTTGCGTGTTCGTGAAAAGTGAGCGGAAACAAGCCTCGCGCGCAGAATTGTAGAGACTACTCACTGTTGCTAAAACGAGGTTCGCACAGTATGGCTGCCAATTGATAGAAATAAGGCTGTATTATGTATAACTTTGATATATTTCTCGCAGATCAGATACTAGTTAGAATAATCAAGGTGTGTTAACTGGAAGTGGATATAAGAACTCTCATGTTAATGAAAAGTTTTACTTTATCTTTTGAAATTTTTGCGTATCATAGCTTACTTTTTAACATAAATAATCGAAGTGAATCTCTCACCAAGTCTCATCAGTCTCATCACATCACACCCATTTCTTAGTGAATAAAGTACTATTTCGAAGATTTAAAAAAGAGTAGGTAGACTATCTAGATCTATACACTAGTCTATATTTTTAATTATCAGTTAGATCTAGATCTAGATCTAGAACTAGATATTTAATATTTTAGATAGACTATGAAGATAGTGAGTAGACTAGCTAAATTTGCTGTTTTAATTTTTATCCTTCTTGTCTGCAACATTTTTTTTTTAACCTTTGCCTTTAACTTTAATTTTTAATAAATGCAAAATATAACATTATAATCTAGATTCTAGATCTATACCTCTTTCCAGTATAGATCTATTCTAGATGTAGACATATAGATCTAATAAGATTCTAGATCTAGGCCTAATTAATTAATATTAAATTAAACATTTTTAGGCCTAATTTTAATTACATTTTTTTAATGTGGTCTACTGATGGAGTTTAATAAAGTTTAATTATCTAATCTAGATCTAGATCTTAGATCTAATTGCAAATTCTAGGGCCTTCAAAATTCTGGCCATATTTATTGTTGAAAATTTTAATTGATCTTTAGGGCTTAGGGCCTAAAATTTCTTTATATTATTGGTATAGGCCTATAGTACTTTTTTTAGTTTATTATTTGAGAATAGTGTAATTATTATGGTAGTATAGTTTAATAGTAAAAAAATGAAATATAAGCGATATAGGCTATCTATTTTAGTATTATCAATTAGATCTTGGTCCTATACAAATCTAGAAAGAGGATATTAACTTAAATAGCTGTACCAATCATTAACTAACTTGTAATTTTGGTTAGTTTATTTTACACTTCATGGACACTGGTTGTTTGCACAGGGATTCTTGATCTAAGTTTGATATAACATGAGCTTTATGGATTTTCAAACTATTATATCTGGTTAATTATAATTAATGTATTCCACGGTTTGCTAAGGTTGCATGATGCTCTTTAGCAGTTTGAATGCAAGTGCCACCAGTTAACATAAAAACTGATTTTAACACTAATGATGAAAGATGATAATAATGACTAACAAAATATAATCAAACACACCCTTTATTTTTATTGTTAAATAAGTCAGTTTAGCTACATCGTGTAGGGATTTTTAAAAATTTCTATTTTAAAAAAAAAACATCTTTAATTTAACATTTATTTTTGTTAAAATACTCTATCATATTATGCACTTTAGTAACTGTATAAACATTTTCCCACAAAATTATCTCAAATTTTTATATTTCAGGTCATGTAGACTGCAAATCAATGTAGTGTGTGGAGTATAGAAATTGTGCTGTTGAAGTCTATTGAGTGTGAAAATAACTTCAATTTTATCAATCATAACTAATGATGCTTAAGAAGGATAGGCATCTATAATAGGATTCCATCTTTTTATTTTCTTAAATGATAGATGGTAGAAATTTAAAGGGTCTTAATACCCTTTACTATACATGCCCTTCCATATGGGTATCTGGAAAAGACTTCAGAACAGGGCATACATTGTCCTAGCTATTTAAAGCCGAAGATTCAAGCAGATTGCTTACTCTAGTACACAGCTATCATAATGCCATCAATATCAACAGAGAGCGCCTCAAGTTGTAAAGTAGGAGATAGAGAATGGTATTCATTCCTTGCCTCCAGCTTGGTAACTTTTGGAAGTGGTTTTTTTGTGATTCTGATCTACCGTATTGTGGTGTGGCTATGTTGTAGGAAGAAAAAATGTTTGAATGTAGCCTCATCTAGTGCAAAGGCAAATTTGGATCAAAAGCACTTTCTGAAGTCATCAGATCCAGAAATAGGATGGATGACAGAGGCAAAAGACTGGGCTGGAGAATTAATATCAGGGCAGACAACAACAGGACGAATACTTGTAAGTGGATTACATTTTTTACACTTAAAAAGTGTTTATATTTAAATTAAATTAAACTAAAAACCTGTCTGTTAAATTTCCAATTTAAGCTGTTCCTATTTTTAAAACCTATTTGCTTTTTTAAACTATTTAAAATATATTATTATATTATTAATATACTTTATGAATACAGATTAGTTGTTGTGATGAGTGCTAATGCAATGCACAAAGTAATTCTTCAATGAGACAAATTTCTTTTTGACTACTTTTTTAAATGAGAAAATTCAAATTAAATAAAACATATTTATAGAATACTTATTCACACTTTGCTTTTTCTGTAGGTAGGACTGGTGTTTTTGCTGAGTATAGCATCTTTGATAATATATTTTATTGATGCATCGTAAGTATTGTATTTAAGTTACCTGTTCAGAATTGTAAAAGCTACATTGATTAGTTTTTGTCCCCTCATACAATGTATTTTGACTGAGTGCTAGGTTTAGTGTAATTATTAAAACAAAAATCTAATAAAAATAATTTCAAATTTCATAAAGTTCATTATTTTGTATTGTATTGCTATTAATCCAAATTTTTACAACTAATTTTTTTCCCACAGTACGAACACAACAGTTGAAACGTGTCTCCCCTGGTCTTCCAGTACTACTCAACAAGTAGACTTGGCATTCAATGTTTTTTTTATGATTTATTTTTTTATTAGGGTAAGCTGTTTTCTTGTACTCAAGTTTATTTTATCTTGTTTATGCACACATAATTACTAATACATAAATTCTACTTTATAGCTAATATTTTAAAGTTTAACTCTTAAAAATAAATTAAATGTTATGAAGTTGCTAGTTAATATTAGTATATGATATTTATAGATGATTACTTCCTCCCTTTTACTTGATAAATTAGTTTGTCACCAAAGTGGGCTTAAATATCTCAAAACTTTCAACACATAGATGGATTTTGCTTTTGAATGGAATTTCAAAGCTCTGTCATGTATGCTTTGAAATTTAGGAATTGAGATACATTGCAAACTTTAAAAATGTTAAATGTTCAGTTCATGCTAATTGTAAAATAAGATATCAATTTTTTTTTCAGTTTGTTGCAGCTAACGATAAATTGTGGTTTTGGGTAGAACTTTTTTCATTTGTGGATTACTTTACAATACCACCATCCTTTGTTGCCATTTATCTTGATAGGAACTGGCTAGGTAAGAGCTCCTTTTCATGTTTCACTGTTGATTTTATTCAATTTAAACTAAGTTTCATGTTCCAGTTTTTATTAATTATATATTATTTATTTTTGTGTTTAAGAAAATTAAGATACTGCACATTGTTTTTGATACCTTCATTTTCTAGTCATTTAAAAAAAAGTATAACACTAAAACAAAAATACAGACATATCTAATGGTGTTGGATTTCTATACATTTTTTAAACTGACTTACACAAATTTTGTTTAAATGCAAATTACAATCATTTTTATTGTTAACCAACTAAGGTTACTTAATCATTTAATTCCAATCTCCTGCAGCTAATCAAACTAAATTTGTCTGTTTATTTATTTATTGAGCAATAAAACTTCAAATGTTTTAGGATGTCATATCCTAATATTATATCAAACAGCTTCTTGGATTAGCTAAAACTTAAGTAGACGTGAGTAGTAGTTTTCTGCCATCCAGAACACAACAGAACACCATACTCAATCACTATATTTTATTTGTAGAAGAGCTATAGACATACTCATACAACACACTGCATTGCATTCTGTTTGAGCACTTGTATTTGTATGCCATTTTGCCATAATGCACATACTGTATAAAAAGTAAATAGGACATTTTCTTTACTCACTTCCTACAGCTTATACTGATAAATAACATTTTTTAGACCACCATAAACATATTATTAAACCCTCCCCTCCCATCCACCCTACAAATCACAACACAATTGTTTATAAGGATGCAATCTCAATGACACCCCCACTTCAAAGTGCATTTTATGAGGCATGTAGCTTTTTTGGGAGCTTGATCATTGTGGATGTTGATTCAAGTCTGCTAATACTATTAGGCAGTTGCCAGTCTTCATCTTAACTGTCTTCCTCTGTATTTGGGGAGAAAAATGATAGTTTTTCTCACCAGTTGTTCAAATTTGTTCAGCTAAATCCTGCTTCCATTCTTTTTCAAATATGAAAATCCACTGCTAAGCAAATACCACACTTGTAGTTAACAGTTTTGTTATGACATTTAGGAATGCAACCTTTGCACAGAATAATTATTTCCTATAAATATCAGAAAAAAAGTTGTTTTTTTCTCCCATAATAATGTTGTTGAACTAAATTAAGTAGGGCCAAGAGCTTATGAATGGCTATAACCTACACAATTTAAATAGTCATGACTCAGGCCAATTATTCTGTGGCAGAGAATTTCACTTCCTCACTCTAATTCAGCACCGTTTGTATGAAAAAGAGAGAAAGGGAGATAATTTCTTGTTTTACTGTTATTCGTGTTTATCACAGCAGTAGAGGTGTAAGCTGAATCTAATTGATGGGGTTGTTTAAGCTAGCGATAGGCGACAGTAGGTTTCTTTTTAGTTGTTTTTTTTTGTTTGGATATAAATTTGGGGTAAATGATGGGGGGAATTCGGATTGTAGACTACTAATACTTTTGAAGTCTATAAAACACTTTAAAGGAGAATACTGTTCCCATAAATATAAATACTGACACAATAAATGTTTACGCTATTTCACTCACTTTTGTCTCTCTTCTCCTACCCCTCCCCTGCTCATTACACCGTAACCTGTAACCTATCACCTGGCGCAAAAGCAATGCTTTTTGCCCACCTGTTCAACCTTATTGTGCTCTACTACATTTGTATTAGTTGTCGGTGAGAGGGTGTGTGTATTTTGTTTGAATGACGTGTTTTTTTAAATGGTGCTCTAAGCACTTTACCTGCCGCCTTTTCAGATTTTCTGTTTTATCAGTGTTAAACTCATCTTCAATTTCGTTCAAAAAACTGTATCGTATCATTTTTTTAAAAGCCCCACCCACATACTCTCGATACCTCTTTACCCATGACTTTTTTGTGGAGTCTGATTTGCTACACCTTCTGTGCGATGTTTACTTTACTTGGTTAAGAAATGATCAATATCTAGCCGCAACACTAAAAATAGAGATCATGTTGAAATCGAATTTTAGAAATGCAGGTATTTGTAGAAAACACTGTACGACCTTCGTTATCTATAAGATAACGTTCTGTCGGCAGAAAATCTATCACGAAATTCCCCGGACTCTCGCTTCACCCTGCATATTCCATCCAGTCCCTCACACTCCCGCCCCTCATCTTAAAACTTTGCCCCGCCCAAATCTAGACCCATTAATCACAGCTAAACCTCCCCTTCCTCATTATCCCCTATTTCTTACTTCAGTTAAATTTAAAAAAAAAATTGAACGTGTTATTTATGAAAACATGTTTATAAGCAGGACATTACACATAGACACCCCCTTGACACCTTAGCTCCATTATGTCAATGAACCAAAATTACATTTTAATTCAAAACTTTAAAGCCAATAATAATTGACTACTGTCTTCGATCAAAATGCCCATAGTAGGTGCATTTTTAAAGTTGGCAACTTGTCCTACAGCAGCATCAAATTAAAAAAAAAAATGGTTAAAGATTTGAAGTATCGTTATGCCTCTTGCCAAATCCTTTCATTTAGGCCTACCGTTTAACAGGGTTTAAGCGGCCTTTTAACTTCTTCAACGTTAACGTAACTATCAAATGCAAGAGATGTACCAGTTACACATTTTTTAAATGGGCTGGCCCATCTCACCTAGAATGTATCGTATTTTCTTTTATAAAGTGCGTCCATAAACACGGAAATGCCCTCCTTGATACCATAGTTACAGCACTGCTACAACCTTCCAAAGTCACACCTAAAATTTGCTTTCTTATTTTTAAAAGATGATTTTAAAAAAATAGTGTATTTTAAATTTTAATCGATATCTGTTGATTTTAAAAAACAGTGTATTTTAAATTTTAATCAATATTTGTTGATCCTAATTGAGACTTTTATTGAAAAAAAAAGTCCCGATTTGATAGCCATTTAGAATAGAAATGTAAATGATGGACACGATCATGATTGTTGGGAATATATTTTGTTCACAAAAAAGTAGTCTCATACAAAAACAATTTTCAAGGCTAGCGATACAAGCCAATATTCCCCTCGTCCTTTCAACTGTTAAATAAGTAGGCGGCCGCGAATTATTGTTATGGCTTTTAACCCCCCCCCCCCCCCCCTACAACTATTGATTATTTAACTATTATTGAATGCATCACATATGGTGCGATGATAAAGAGGAGTTTAATTCATTAAAAAAAATTATTTGATGTTTGTAATAGATCACCTTAAGTTGGAAAAATTCGACTGTTTACCGTGACGATAGAAGCCCGATCTTTAACTCTAAGTAATTACTAGAACCCCTGTTTGAAAACCACCGTTTTATCATGATGTCAAAAATTTGTTTTAATGAAATAAAAGTGTTTAGGCTGCTATCAATGCCAATTTTTAAGAATATGCTAACTTTTTCGTGCGCATATTTATCTTAAAGCTTTATAACAATAACATTTCTGTGATTTACCACATTCCCACGCCGTTACAAGCAATGGCACACTTTTAAGATTTAAAAATCTACGAATAACATAACTATATACGAAATAATTTTCATAAGTTTTCATTAGCAAACATGGCAAGCCATATTTTGCGATTAAAAGAAAATGTAAGACTGTTGTGACAACTTCATTAAACAAGCATTGCTAATGGTAAATTTAAAAGATAGAGTACAGAAAATCAAATGCAGTGTTACATTGCTGTATATCTCACTTCCCATATAGTTCTAGTATAAGACAATATAGGCTAATAATTGATAAACCACACCCTTCCCATTCGTGTTTTATAATATGCACACGATCCCTGACAAATACGTGGGCATAGTAGTAGTTTTCTTGAATTACTCGGCTATTCGTACGCCACTGCCCCCTCCACCAAAACTGCATACCTAAGATCATACCCCCAAAGATTACTGTTTATTTACACGATAACCTATTAATAAGATAAAACGTATGTTCTTTAGCTGTCCAAAACGTATACGTTAGTGCGTTCAATTTGGATTGTCGTTTATTTCTACTGGCTATTAACCAATTATAATTGTTTTTTAGATGCTAGAGTTAATATAAAGATAATAGATATAGGTATGTTTATATTTTTCTGTTTCCGCCGTCACGAAATCCTCAAAAACTTCTCAGTGACCATTGTTTATCCTCGCTAATAAAGATGGCTCACATTAATTGATAGTCGTTATACATGATGGATTGGCATTTATAAACAATTATTTTATCTGGTAAATAAACGGTTTTGTATAAATATAATGTGCTTTGGTGTATGAGTATTGCCATAAATACTGAGAGAATTGCTTTCTATCAGGCACTGTTTGTGAGCCCTATAACTAAGAAAGCACGTCGTGAGTGCCAGTTACATTATTTTGGCAGAATTCCGACATTTCGCCCTCACGTTTGGCAGCTCTATAAAAAAAAGTAGGCCTATATAGAAATGTGGGGTTTCTGAAACAAACGGTGCTAGAGAAAAATAAATATCTCTCATCTGGTGTATGTTGCTCTTATTGAAGTCTTTAATATCTCAAGGCTAATATTGGCGATTTCTCCATAAGTTTACTGTATAATGCACTTACGTTAAAAATAGGCTTACTTTAAAATTCTAGTTGTAGGCCCAAGTGTTAGTCAATACGTATCCGATGATAATTCCTATTGTGTATTTGGCTATGCATTTGTGTGTGTGTGTGTGTCTATGTGTGTGTGTGCGTGCGTGTGTGTGTGTGTGCCTGCATTTTATCCGAGAAAAGCCGTTTGCCAAATAGCTAATTCGTTATGTATTAGGTCTACTTATAAAAACTCAAATAAATAAATAGTTTCTTTTATTTTACACTACCTCGCGCCATTCGTCAGATAAGTTGTGTAAAATTCACGCGAATAAAAAAAAATCTATACTCATCAGTTGAAATCTCCTAGCAAGTAAATGACATTAAATAAATACTTGCATAAAAATCAATACACACACCGCCATTATAGAATATTTCTGTCTGCTTCTAATCGATGCTTCTTTTTAAAAATACATAACTCTTGCTGAGAGCTTCACATGATATAACATTCTAACAAAGAGTATCAGTTAATGCTTATTTAGGAAGATCGTTATCACGTGCTTATATTCTTGAGTAAGATATAGTAAATGGGTAATTTTAAAAGTTTAATATTTCCGTTTTATATATAACTGATTTTCAAGCACCCCGATCCTGGGCCAGTTTCTCAAACTGTCTCCATTGATAGTCAGTCTTCCTAGTACCACTTTCAAGGTCGACCTCCAGGGACTTACTTAGCAAGGCTCTTTTTGTTTTGGTCGACCTTATGTTGCAGGCTTTCAGAGAGTAGTCAATCCATCTCAATCTAGACGGAAAATTTCTCTTTGGCAGTGTCTTCCAATGTAGATTACTAACAAGGAAGATAGACTGTTAGGTAACTTACGTTAATGCTTTTGCCTACATTATCTGGTTAATGGTATAGTGTGGTCACGCAATAGTGCGCTTTTTAGTTAATGATTACCTAGTTAATACTATGCGATATATCAATAGTGAGGGGATTACTTTTGTATAAGTGTGTGTCTGTCAGGATTTCTTTCAGACATTTTTTCCGGGGAGGGGGTGGGGGCGCACGCGATTAAAGTAGCCCTATACATTTTCTGCATTATATATTCTCCTATTTCGTGCTCCGGATACCCCCTCCCCCCCCCCCCCGTCCAAATAGATGTCTGAAAGGAACTCTGGTGTCTGTGTATGCGCGCTTATGTGTGTATGTGCATAAACAATTCTATAATAGCAAACAGGTAGCTTATTGTATTGATTAAATAGGAAACTTGTTACGTACTGTCTTTTAGGAAGGGAAAGGTGTGGGGTGGGTAGAGTGAGAATAGCTTTTTAAAATTTCCGCTTTATCCATACTCCGAATGGTACACATATTACATCATATGAATGGTGTTTAACATTAATTTGTATGGGAAGGTCTTCAAACGCCGCCATTGATTATTTTTATTATTTTCAAGAAAATAAATGCTGCATAGAATGATTATAGGAATAAGCTGACATCACTGGCTTACCTGTGTTTTCATTTAACTTAATGAATACGTGACAAGAGATTTTCTTAAGAAAGATGTGATTACTAAAATCAATTTTTAAAATAATATTTTTTTATTTTTTAGTGACACATTGTGTCTTGGTCTAAGGGGAGGGGGTATGTTTTAAATATGGGGGTTAAAATTATACATAGAAATATAAAATAAATGTGATTGTGGTCGGTAAAAGCGTTTATTGAGTTTATCAATTTGTTTTAGTATTCCTCTACTAATTGTAAAGGGAATGATTTTTAAGAGAATAGTTTGGCTAGTGAACTGTGAGCATTCCTGATTTGGATAGAGTAGGCTATGATTTTCATTCAAAATATTTTGAAATCTAACTTATTATCAGTTTTTTTTACACAGTTGTGTCTTAATTTTAACATTTTGACACCCCGGTGACGGAATTACGATTGTGCCGTAAAGGTTACACTTTTGCCTCCAGTATACACTAAAATCGTCCTTAGCGTACATTGTTTTTTTTTCTTCTTATGATAACTTTTAGTTCTCGATCTAGTTTAATATTTAACTGTAGCTAGAATCTTGTTCAAAATTTTGCTGTATTATCCGGCTCTGTTTACAAACATCTTAACGACCCCCCCCCCCTCCCTCACCTCTTCCCGTCCAATGTCAAGGCAGGCGGGAGTCGTTAGACCTATGTTGAACTTTTATTGACCCCGCGAGATGTTCAGTGAGCATTGATGGCAATTATAAATCTGAATAGCCTCTTTTTAAATCTAGATTTAAAAAAAAAGGTTCAACAAAAAGACCAATTCTAAACAACGTTACCCGTGTGAGCGGGAGAAAAATACCGACACGTTTGAGGTCACCGTGAGTTCACTTTGGTTTAAACAGCAGCTGTGTAGGCGTATAATGTAGCGTACGTCATAGCGTGAACAATTTCTGATTGAGATTGTCGCTTTACGTTCTGAATTTTTTAAAGTTATTACCCGAGGATCTTGCTTAATATCCAGATTCAAATCACGCTTAGTCCATTTCTGTAAAATGAATCTTTGTAGCCGATTGTTATCGTTATGCTGATGTATTTTGTGATAGTATAACATTAGTCTCTCCGGAAAATATCTTGACCCCCCTCGAAAATATCAAGTCTCTCCCCCCCCCCCCCTCTCCCCCGTCGGCAGCCCTGGATATCTTTAAACCATTAAAGACGGCAGTAATACTGATACTGCTTATAGTAGTTTCTTTTAATAAATTGGCTAACTTTCTAAAATAATTTGATGACGATGAATCGAAATACTTTTAAAAGTTGTTTATATTAAGCGCCGCCTCTACTTTGGGGCCTGTTGTAGGAAATATGTTGACCTATATAGCCTATTGTTTTTTTTTCCTTAAAATAGGCCTATATTTAGAAATGGAACGAGGTAAATGAATAAGAATTTTTTAAAATTTTGTTTGTGACGTATGACATGACTAATATATGTAGGCTATCCATTCAATGCTGTCAAAATTGTACTAAGGGGTCATCCATAAATGACGTCACGCTTTTTTGACGATTTTTACCTCCCTCCCTCCCCTCCATCACACCTCGTCACAAAAAGCCAGACCCCCCCCTAAAATGACGTCACACCTCAGCCTACAACCCCCCCCTCAAAATTGCTGTTGAACTTTTCTTAAAACAGCGATATTTTGCCAGAATCTTATCATAACTTAGTCAACATGGAGTATTTTGATCAATTCCTATTAGAATTTATTAAAACTGTTTTCTAAAACACGAAATAACGACTAAAACTCGTTTTCTAACGAAGCTGTTGTATTATGCAAAAAAGTGACGTCACACCATCTGAGCCCTCCCCCCCCCCTCCCCCTCATCACACACCGTCACAAAATTACGGAACCTCCTACGTGTGACGTCATTTACAGAGTTTCTTCCAGGCATCTCTTCGGGGGGGCTCTGCCCCCCCGAAAAATTTTTACCGCCCCCCCGAACGAAATGAAATTTATATAATTTATATAGAAAATATATACTTTTAACAGTTTCCGCCCCCCCGAAGAAAGTTTACCGCCCCCCCGAAGATTTCAAGTGCCCCCCCGGAGAAAAAAGTCTGGAAGAAACACTGGTCATTTATGGACGACCCCTAAAGTAAAAATGGCAGATTCTACTTATTAGGTTTAATAATTATATTTAGCCGTGTCATTAAGTGTATTTGCCGCTATTTTCGTTTTAAAATGTAGGCTTACAGACAAATAAAATAATTCTTATTTACAGGCCTGCCGCTGTGCGAATGCGGGTTGATAACATTAATTAAATGTAGACCTATAGGCCCTATTAAAAATGTCCGCTATATTGGTATTTAAGTAAACCTACACATTAAAAACATTGTCTTCAAATGGCAACGCATGAGGCTAATTTTATGTTCATTGTTAAGGGGGAGGGGGTGTTGTTGGACAAACTTTCTATACTGTTTACCTTGCGTGCCTATAATTTTTTAACAGGTGTTTTAGATTTAAACATCTGGCATAGTTTTCTAAATGCCCAATTTATGCAAATAGGAATATTTGACCTAGAAATTTTGTTGTTGTTTAGTGATTTAAAAATATTTCTGGCGCATTACAACTATTTAATGTAGTAGAATAGTACTTTCAGTGTGATCAGAAAATATATTAAATTTATGGATATCCACCACTTTCCCATTGGTCCACTTAAATTTTACCCCACCCCATGCATGGATGTAATTCATGAACACAAAGCACAAATTTATAAAATTGTACTAAGTTGTTAAAAGTGTGTAAATAATTGTCAACATTAAAGGTATACAATGTATTTCTGTTTTTTTTTTTAATTATACATTTAAAATTATTTTTTTTTGCAGGTATTATTTTAAAAAAAAATTAAATGCTGATTGTTGTATATGGATAATCAGTTTTTCTCTCATAACTATCTATAGGACTCAGATTTTTGAGAGCACTTCGGTTAATGTCAATCCCTGATATTCTCACTTATTTAAATGTATTGAAGACCAGTACATTGATAAGGCTTGTTCAGCTCGTAGTTTCCTTTGTTTCATTATGGCTAACAGCAGCTGGATTTTTACATTTGGTAAGTAGATTTTCCTTGGCAATATTTTTTTTTAATTCAGTAGCTAATAAGTAATTAATTTTATATCATCTCTTAATTAAAAATAAGTACATTCAACTTTTTGCAAGTGCCCATTTAAAAATGAATAAAGAGATCTTTGTCAATTTAGTGTAATTTGTTTAGAAGAGTTAACAATACTTTTAAATTTATATTGAAAAAAGAATAAATGCAGGCTTGTGTTAAATGTTCAAGTATGCCTACACACTCTTTAATGTGTTTTTTTTTAAAGAAAATCATTTCCCTCTTGCAGCTGGAAAACTCAGGTGACCCTTTTTTTAACTTCAGCAATATACAGAAATTAACATATTGGGAATGTCTCTACTTTCTTCTTGTAACTATGTCAACTGTTGGCTTTGGAGACATTTATGCTACTACTGTGCTTGGCAGAACATTTGTAGTCATCTTCATCATGATATTTATCGTGAGTTTGAAAACAATTCAAATAATCATCTTTAATTACCTATTCCTGTCAGGATACATTACTTTTTCCGAGCATTAAAAATATTGATTGTAAAATTGCATTAAAATATTGATTGTAAAATTGCACTAATTTACATTTACAGGGTTTGTTTGCCAGTTTTATACCAGAAATTGCTGAGATATTAGGTAAAAGGCAGAAATATGGCGGCTCATATAAAAAAGAAAGAGGAAAACGGTAAATATAAATATTTTCTTTTAAATCTGTATTTTTTATGTCACTTATTAGGATGTTATTTAAAAATTGTAATCTTTTTTTAAATAGCCCATTTTCCCAAGGTTATTTACATACTTTACTTAGCATAGTCTGTAATATTTCTTATCATAATTTAACAATTAATTTTATTATCACTTCTGAATTTAAGAACAATTTGTTTTCTTGTTTTCATAATAAGTCTTTTTATTTATGAACTACCATTATGTTTACACATAATTTTTTTAGTATAGTATATATAAATCTACACTGAATAACATTATATTATATTCTAGACTTTGTCTATACAGCTGCCAATTAAATTTCTTTGTTCTATTTCAGACATGTTGTAGTTTGTGGATATATAACCTATGACTCAGTGTCCAACTTTTTGAAAGATTTTTTGCACAAAGACAGAGAAGATGTTGATGTTGAAATTGTTTTTTTACACAAGTAATTATTTAATAAATTTTATATGTATTGTATAGCAATAAGTCTAGACTCATGGTTTGTTTATGTATATTTTTTATCATTGCTTTTGGATGAGACATTTTTAGAAGTTATGATTGACTTATAGACCTAAAGAAGTAGATCATATATTGGTTCATAGATTAAAGAGATAAAAATTCTCGAACCTAAACAGAATATTTTAAACTGTTATTTTTTTTAGGAACCAAGTACTTTGAACACAAAATAAGTCATTTTTAAAAACAGTAAACCAAATATTTATTTTCCTATTTAGGGGTTTACCTGGATTAGAATTAGAAGGGCTGTTGAAACGACATTTTACACAAGTGGAGTATTTTTGGGGTTCTGTAATGGATGCAAATGATTTAGAACGTGTGAAGGTGAGTTAAATAGATGTTTCTGGATCTAATAAAATTTTAATTCCTGTGTAAGTGATTACACCTACAGTAGAAACAAAGATATAGTCTTAAATCAATGTAACACCTTGATATATTGCTGAAGTTATGTGTACATTTTTTTGTCTATTCTTATTTAGCCATTTATATAAACATGCATTTATTCTTTAAAGATACAAGTTTTTCATGCAACAAAATACTTTAATGATCCTTATTTTTATTGTAACCATATTTGATTCCACAGGTAAACAATTGTGTGCACAAAATCATGTTTGCCTCTTTTTTACTCTTTCAAGATACAACAAGCAGATGCATGTTTAGTTTTAGCAAACAAGTATTGTCTTGATCCTGATCAAGAAGATGCTGCAAATATTATGAGGGTTATCTCCATAAAAAACTACCATTCTGATATTAAAGTAATTGTACAACTGCTGCAATACCACAACAAAGTAAGTAATGAAATTTATAAACTTAAAAAACTCAAGATATAGCATTTTTTTTTGCATTTAGATTGAACTGCCTGTGGCTGTAAATAATTATACACTTGAAAAATATAATACTGTTTACAATCATGAACATTTGTTATTACAAGAGATTTTAGTCATTGTTTATATTACTGATATTTACTTGCATGCTTACAATTTCAAATATCAGGCTTACTTACTAAACATCCCTAGCTGGGATTGGAAAAGAGGAGATGATGCTGTTTGTGTGGCAGAATTAAAACTTGGGTTTATTGCCCAAAGCTGTTTAGCTCCAGGATTTTCCACTTTGATGGCTAATCTTTTCACAATGCGATCTTACAAACCAGTATGTTACTTTAAAATAGCAAATTATTCTGTCACAAATTAAGACCTGAAGTAGTATTAACAAATTGATTATTATAATTTTTTAAAACATTCATTTATTTATGTGCTTCTATGTACAAACATCTGTAAGTATTCTTTTCCATAGGCATATATATATATATATATATATATATATATATATATATATATATATATATATATATATATATATATATATATATATATATATATATATATATTAGTTCTACTGTATGAACCTATCTCTACCAAATTGTAAATAATATTGTATTTGTACAGACACCAGAAATGGCACAATGGCAGACAGATTATATGAGAGGCACTGGAATGGAGATGTACACTGAATATTTATCTAGTGCTTTTAACTCATTAACCTTTCCAGAGGCAGCTGAGTATGTTTTGGATTTTAAAAATTAGCAATAACCCTAATATTAGCTAGGAAAATATTTTATTATGCATTTTTTGTCTTCGTTAGATTTTACATAGATTCTTTATTGCAGGCTCTGCTTTACCAAACTTAAACTACTATTGTTAGCCATTGAAGTCCGTCAGGAAGATACCAGAGAAAGCACTTTGGCTATCAATCCAGGGCCAAAAGTAAAAATTGAGAATGCAACACAAGGTTTCTTCATAGCAGAATCTGCAGAAGAAGTAAAAAGGTTTGTATTTGAGATAAGGATGTGCATTTAAACCAATATATATAATTTTTATATTTGTGTAATTCTAGCCTAATGAAATATTTTTACAGAAGAAAGTATACATTACAAATAATGTTTAAAATGTTTGTTTTTTTTTTTATTCATGCAGAGCATTTTACTACTGCAGAACTTGTCATGGAGAGGTAACAGATGTAAGGTTAATTAAAAAATGCAAGTGTAGACCACGTAAGTTTTCCTCATTATGAAAGAATATTATTATTACATTTAAAAAAAAAACAACTTTTTTTTAAAACTAACTTTATTTTTAGTTTGGTTCTTCATTTTATATCTAAGGTTTTGAGGAAGATGTACTGTTAATGCATAAACTTGCTGCAAGGGTAATTTAAAAAATATACTTATTTCCTATAGTTCTTTAAAATCGAAAACAGAATAAATATGTAAAAAAAAACATGTTGAAAAGGTGACAAAAGCGATCTAAATGCTTATATAAAATTTTAAAAACATAAGGTTGGTAAAACATTTTGGGAAAAGTTAGTCTTATCTCCCACTTCTAGGACTACATTTCAATTGTAACTTCAAAAAAAAATGCTTATAAAATGTGTTTTGTAACTGCACCTTTTTTTTTTTTAAAAAATTTCTATCCTAAATTTTCCCAGAGGCTTCAAGAGGTTGTACTGCAAAGGCTTTTGAAAAATAAAAAAATATGGGCATTATCAAACTCTTCTTAGGCACTTCAATTTATTTTTTCATCACATTAAAAAAATTAAAGTTTACTGGTATTTAATGTAGCAAACCTTATCATTTATTTTATATTTAATGTGGTAACTAATGCAAAATATAAGGAACTAAAGAAGAAGCTTACTGAAACATGTTTTATGTATTGTTTTATAAGCAGATACATTGTTATATAGTCTATGGGTCAGAAAATTTAAACCTTGTTAAAAAATATTGTAAGTTCATACAAAAATAGCAGCTGTGTTGATCTTAAACAAATAATATTTTAAAAAAATCAACTTTCTTTAAAAAAATGTGAGAAATGCAAAATATTACAAATCTTGTGGCAAAAAAATAAAACTCAAAAATTAGCAGCTAAAATATTGCTTTTCTTAATTTTTCAAAGATTTATACCTAGATTTATATCTTCATTTCCTTCTAATTTTCATTTCTGAATTTCCTTCATAAGTTGCAATGTTCAAGAAGGGAGCTGCAGCAGTTCTAGGTAGTCTTTCTACACCTCTGTCACTCTCAGTGTTACAGGAAACAAATACTCTGCTTTCTGTTTTATATATTAAATGTATACTCCTGTTAACAGAAAGGGATTTTCAATAGTTAGAATTGTTAGGATCATACATATATGATCCTCTGTTTTTTATAGATATAAAAATGTATACACACACACACACATACATATATATATATATATATATATACACACATGCATATATATATATATATATATATATATATATATATATATATATATATATATATATATATATATATATATATATATATATATATATTCAATTTTTGTTTTTATCTACATACATTTTTACAACTCATTTTATGTTAATTTTTAGCTTCTTCCTCATTGCTATATTGAAAGACATTTTTATGAAAATATTTGTAAAATTATTCCACTGAAATTAAAGTTAAAAGAAATACAAAAATCAAATCTAATATGTTAGTTTGCAAAAGTTTGGCTATTGAATGATCCCTTTCTACATATGCACACTAATTCTAATGTATGCACCATTATTTCTCAAGCTTTTAGAATCTCTTTTTTTATTAATCTAATCAATCTTGTTGTACTCATAAGCATTTTTGTATTAGTTGTCAACAATGCAGTTGTTATAGAGAGTAAAGTACTTCCACAAATTTTTAACCTCTGAGAGTTCAGTAACTTCAGATTTACCTTTGTGTCACTTATCCATTTAATTAAAGTTTAAATATTTAAAGCATTTAAATTTTGTAAAATTATCCTACAACGCTAACTGGTTTACAACTAACAATGATTATAATTAAAACAAAGGTCTAGTCCTACCCCACTTCTTTTTATAATAATAAGCATTTTAGGCTTATTAATTTTCCAAACATTAACTTTTAAAAATAATCTCTGTTAAATATTTTTTTTTTTACAATGGAACCCTTTAAATATAAACATTATTCAATTGAGCTGCAAATATAACTATTTCTTAATTATAATAAATAAATATATATACTTCTCTCTCTCTCTCCCCCTGTCTGCAACATATTTCCCTAGGCTATGAGATCAGTATCTTCAGCAGTATATGTAGAACTTAATGATACGGTTTTTGTTGAAAATATGTTGGTTGTATTAAATGTTATAAAGTAAATTTATTCAAAGATGGAAAATGAAAATAAAGGCATATTTGAATGTAGAAACACAACTTTAATAATGTAACCGGAGAAATGTTTATGGTTGTGACATAACACTCTAGAGAACATAAAAGTAGTTCCAAAATATGACTGGCAAAAAGAATGACTTCACTTGAAACAAATAGAAAAATATCTTTGATGTTTTGTTAATAGAAAGTTTAATTCTATGGAAAGTACACAACACTCACAGCTTCATTGATTGTTGGATAAATAAAATTAAAAATCATATGTCGAAAATGATACACAATGCACAATGATGTCATCTTTTATAAGATTCGCTTCCCACATTATGAAATTTATACAATTTTTTAGGCCAAAAATAATAATAATTAACCTAAAAAAACAAAAAATACCATTGATCAGCCAGCTTTTTTAATGAATCATTTAAGTCACTTAATCAGTGTGGGCATTTAATATGCTGTTGACTAATATTGTATATTATTTGGTTTTAATTTTACGAATAGGTATTAGTAGCCTATGTTATATTAAAATGTATAGGATTTTTAGCTATTAAGTTATTTTTTTTGCTTCGTCACTAATGTCGCTAACGTGTACTAAAGCACATTGATCAATTAATATTTTATAAAATATTTTTCTCAAACAAGTATAACATTTAAAATATTTAATGGGTACCGATGGGTAGTATATATAAATTAATAAATAGATAAATGAATAAATATATAAAGTATTGTTTACGAGTTTTATAAACTGTTCTTACAATGTGATTGATTTAACGACCAAAGAAGACTTGTTACTTTTTAAAAAAAAACATAAATCTGAAAAAGCCTCCTCATGTTTTTTATCTGAGTTTCCACATTCAAAATATTTAAATGCTATTGTATTTAAGTTAATTGATAGCAGAATGCTGAAATTTAAAAACATGTTTTTCAGATAAAATTGCAACTACTGTTTTTGTTCACTTCATACAAAAGCATGTCATTTTATTGCACGCATGATTTATCTCCCTTGTAATTTTCTTGCTTTTTAGTCCACCATGTAATGCGAAAAGTCTATTCAGGTATTTTATTACCAACGATTTATAGAAAAACTACTTTTGTTTGTTATTAGGTTGTAAATTAATTTCTTTTTGTTTAGCTCATTATTTCACAATTAAAAAATTCCTGTCTTTTACAGTTAATGTTATAGTTCATTCTTTCTTTAAATAAATTATTTCTAACCTTGCTTTGGCATGAAGAAAATAACATATAATTAAATTTTTTTCGTTGTACTGACATTGAAGAATGATTCATAAAGTTATTAATTAAAAAAAAAGTGTACTTTATATTATTATCATTGCTACTTTTAATGATATCTGTAGGTTTAGCTTTAACCAGATAAGCTGCTTTTAGCAATTACCAGTAAATTCATATGTTTGTACCTGATAGTTTTGTATGCCTCTGCATCAGTTTGTAAAATTAAATGCAAAATTGCAGTAGTGTGTACTTGATACAATATAAAATAATTGATCCATTTAAGCTAGTACTTTTAAAAAATTAACCTTTGTAACAAATGTGAGGTGGATTTTTGGTATTTTTACTTCTGCTTTTTCATTAACTATAGATACCTTTATACTAACTGAATGTGTTTTATTCCTTCTAACTCCTGAAGCACTTCAAAGAACACCAGGTCTATTAACAGAGCAAGAAGCTGAAACTGGTAAAACTTTATATTTATTTTATAAATAGTTGGTATAAGCTTCAAATTTCATGAAAAAGGTAACATTTCTATATCCAGATGTAAAATTCCTGAAGGCATCAAGAATTCAAACAATAAACAACTGAGAAAGAAAGTTACATTTATTTTGAATATACTTTGTGCTAATCTAAAAGTATTTTGCTAATTGAAATTGATTTCTGCTTTTTACTTTCCTTTAGTTTGCATGACTTTTGGGCCTCTCAAAATTAGTGCATGTAGTTTTAAGAGATTGTTTTTAGCTTTAAGTAATATTTTGTTTTACTGAAGTTAAAAAAACAATTTGCTTGACTTTTGCAACAACGGCTGTTTTTTTTTACAAAATTCAGTAGTGAGTATAAAAATCCACTCCTTGTTTCTCTGAATTTCACCCTCAATTTTCAGAGTAATTAATTGTAGTTCAATTTTATAAACTTGTAGCAAAATTGTTTTATATTTTAGATAAAGATAAAGAAAAGAAATCTAAAGACTCTAAAGAAACGAATATGAATGTAGTCACAACAAAGCCAACAACAAGCTCATTTGCGTAAGTACAGTGTTGAGTTTTTTTTTAAAAAAAGGCAACCGTTTTTTTTTTCCTTTTTATTTACTAAAGGATCCATGTTACTGTATAACAAGTAAACTATGTCTTCGTCTTGTATATTGGCTTTTATCTTTGGAAAACTAATGGCTAAGTAAAGCAAATTGATTGTATAAAGGTTTTAGTCACAACAAAACCAACAACAAGCTTATTTGCGTAAGTACAGTGTTGAGTTTTTAAAAAAAAAGGCAACCGTTTTTCTTTCCTTTTTATTTACTAAAGGATCCATGTTACTGTATAATAAGTAAACTATGTCTTCGTCTTGTATATTGGCTTTTATCTTTGGAAAACTAATGGCTAAGTAAAGCAAATTGATTGTATAAAGGTTTGGTATGAATGTTGATCTCATATAAACTGTTCTCTTTGAAACATCAGAAAACAAAACAATTTTGAAAACTTATTCTTTTGAAACTCACTTAAAACATCAAAACCAACTTGTAACATTGTAATTGTTTTATATCAATAATGAATTGTCCAATGTTTGTTTTATGAAACAAATAAAAACATAAGTAAAATAATACAGTTTCTATCAATTGAAAAAAAATATAAAATCTATACATTTAGTTAAATGTATTGAATTCTCTTGTCAGAGAAACGTGTGATTTATAATCAGAATTTCAAAACTGAACATTTTTGCTTAACTGCTCATATTATGCAGTGAAGAATGCAATGGAATTTTTGACAATTTAGTGTGTTCCCCTCACCTCTAAATCACTTTCAACATCCATTTCGTCCGATTGCTGTTAAGCCATCTTATTGTCACTTTAATATGGTGATGATTGGATAATTGCGGTCATTTCAGCTCTAGTGATGATAGCCAGTCAGGCCTGAGTCTTGACCGGCATCAGATGCGGGATGAGAAGAATTATCTTTTGTTAAAAACCAAGAAAAAGGAGAAAGAAACTGTACTGGTTTTGGATGCACCAATGAAGTCTCGACTTTCCATGTAAAAACATATTAAAACGATATTCTGCAGTGGCATTCTTATTTGTGTTTGCTCCTTCCATGTCACCAGAAACCTAATTTATTGATTTTTATACCCCTGCCTATCTATTTTTTTTCCAAATCTAATTTCAGCATGCAGAAAGTGAAGCCACTCCCAAACAATTATATTGCTGTCTTGTCTAACTGTTAATAGTTGATTTTATTGTTTGTAAGATCTATGCCTATTTTTAGCCTTTTGTAGTTTAAAAATATTTTTTTTTGAGTTTGCATCATTCTGATATATTATTAAGGTTTCATTACTCAGAAGTAGTACTTGTGACTGATTTCTTAATTTGATTTGGCTTAAGTCAGTGATAAATAAATGCAGTCATAACATGTTTTGTGTAGGCAGAATTTAACATCAAGTTTGTTGACACGGTTTCAGTGAGTAGTTTTTAAAAGAAATATTTTTCGTTTGTTTTTTCCTCAAATTATGTTAATAGTTTCGTATTTTTTATTTATTTGAGGCTAAAATGGAGATTTTTTTTTGCTTCCATTTTATAATGCGTTTTAGTTTGTTAATGAGAGGAAAGGGGACACACTCTATAATCGGCACTGTATTTAATTATGACTAGTTATAAAACAATAAGTTCCAGCTATTGTGGTGTATTTACAAAATATTTCCCTTTCTCCCAGACAAAGGAAGAAGAAAAAGAGTAATGGATGGAAGTAAGGAGCATGTAAATCTGTTATTTATGCAACCAACAAAAAATTAAGTGCAAAGCACTATTTTCTTTCCATCCCCAAAAAGTGTTAATCTCGAAATCCTAACTTTCTAGTATGAATGCACTAAGATCATACTCTAACAAAATTATAATAAACTCATTGTCTTTGGCTAAAAAGTATTGGGAATGCTTAAAGAAAACATAAAATACAATTAATTTGTTTGTCATCATGAATATTCAAACATTGTATAGCTTTTTTTATTTTGCATTTATAGATCTAAAACAAAATCACTTTCAAGTTGTCTTGCTATCTTGCTACTAATATAACATGTTTACTGCTGAATTTCTTTTGTCTTTGTTGGTTTTGAGTATCATGGGTATTTTTGAGGATTTTGTAATTTCATGTCTAAACTTGTAAACACTTCATTGTCTTCTTAGTAATGTTGTTGCTAGATTGATATAAGTTAACTAATCACATCTTTGTTAATATTCTTTTCTTAGCTCAAAATAATTTACTGCAGAATGATTTATTATTTGTTTTTTTCTTGCTAGTAAGTGCAGTAGAAATCCTCTGCATCTAAATATATGAGGTTACAAGACTTATTGGTTCCTGGGGTAGATAGTAGATAGTTAATGTGTCAGTGTAAACATTGAATCTGTACATATATAGACTTTAACATTTACACCTTCCTTCTCTTTTTACTTTTTCCTTTAAAGTATTTCAAAAGTACCCATTTTAATTTAAAAAACGATACTTTTAAATCTAGTTTTATTCTGTCAGAAATGTTATAGGCCTACAGTTAAAGGCTACTAGATGCTTTCGTTACTCTGGGTCTTTGGATTAAGTACTCACCTGACTTTTGTAGCCCAAAATGTTTTGTTTTATTGTTTCAGTGTTTTATTTATCCAGAAAATCTCTCTGACTAATGGGATACTAGCTGATAGAGCTCTCAGAGCAATTCGTACAGAACTTTGTTTTTAAAAGCCAGATCTAAAGGAAAAGTTTAATATTTCAAAAAATGTCCATACAATTTTGTCTCTTATTTGTGATTATAGAAGTTGTAAAATTATATGGAGAAACATGTACCAATCTGAGAAACTGACAGTGTACTGTCAACACCACCATTTGCTGTGATGGCATAAGACTCAAATACTTTTAGAAAAAATGATGGTTTTAAAGCTGCACATTATTGTCTGTTTTATTATCAATTGTTAATTTTTATACTGTTTTCCCTGTTTATGGGGAGGGAAAATTGCAGAGAGTTCAACCTGTTATAATTTTCTGAGTATCGTATACAGGTAATAAACAGTTTGCTGGCTTACAGACAAGTAATTTTATGAATACTGTCTAGAAAAGGTCTAGAATGTAATGAATTAAAAGGCAGTACTTTAACTGTATAGTTATGTGCTGCCCCAACTACATTACCTTTTAACTCTTATAACCCACTGACAAATGAAAAAAACCCAATGTTAACAGTTTACAGCACGTTTCTTTTTTTTTTTAAATTAAAAAAAAATTATTTTCTTTGTATATTTTCTGGTATGTAATCTCAGTCAGATCTGTTATGTTTAAATTGCTCATTTGACTGTTTTAGAGCAGAATTTCTTAAATAGATATACAGTCTAAATAAAACCTATCATGAGAATATCTGGTGGAGCTCGATGGCTTTTTATTATACTGAAGATTGCAAGTGGAAGCTAACAAAGTAATAACTATTTGGAGCCTTGTCAGATTCCCTAAAGTATTTTGATCTATATTTATACTTTTTATAGCCTGTTTTTTACAGTAATCTTTATTAGATACATTACCATTGTCTTTGTTAAATCTACCAACTAAAAAGTAAGAAAATATTATTTTAATGAATACTTTCTTTTTGTCTTTAAAAGCTTGTGTTTTAATCAAGAAAATTGCATTACAAAATGTTTTTGATCTGTAAGGAATGTAATGCTTAATACTCAGTTAAACATAATAGTATTTTTTTTTTTAATTTTAAGTAATTTATGTTTGAAGGAAAAATTTGAACAGGCAGTATTTCTTTGCAAAATAATCCCCCCCCCCCCCCCCCCCACAATTTATTTGTGAAAAGCCATATGGAAAACCATCAAGCATTATGAATCAGAGGGCACTTACATAATTGAAAGTTTTATTTCTTAAAGGTTAAGTTTTTGTTTCAGTTATCTTAAATAATTTATTTTGTCATATTTAGCAACAATACAGGATAATTTTTTCTTGGCTTAGCTGTTGAAAATTTAACCGTTACAGAATCCTGTCTAATTTAAAAGAACATTTTGTAAGTATAAACACTGCACCTATGCAAGCCCTTCTGAAATCACTGAAAATAGTGCTGAATCTTATATCAGCATGTAATATATATATAAACATGTATACAGTTATGGAAAGCTTTACACAAACAGTATTGTCTTGTCAATATCTTTACAAAAATCAACATGAGCTTCTTTTCTGAAACATCTTGCATGGCTTAATTAATAGCAGAAAATATTATTTCTCAAATGTATTGCTAATGATTCAAGAGCTTCTCTATAATTTATAAAGACATACTTTAACGAAAAGTTTTTTCTATTGCCATATAATAGTTTTTTTTTATTATCTCCATTCTAACCAGCTTAGTTTTGGTAATATCATTTGTAATACTCTGAGAGTAAACAGTGCATTTGAATTAGAACAATTTTGCAAACAATAGTTTTAATACCTAAGGTCTATATAGTTCATGGATTGTTTCTTTGGTATTGTAGTAGTAGTTCAACTGAAATGGAATAATACAATCTTCTGATTGATTCTGCTAGTACTACCTGAAAAATTTCCTTTCATCTGCAAGTACATTTATCATACAGTTGCTCTTTGTTGAGTCAAAATATTTTTATTTAGCTGTCAACTACTCTTCTAAGTACTTGTTTTCAAAATCTTGGGTAAGTTTAATGTCATTTGAAAATAAATTTGATTAAGGATGTAAATAATGTGTAAGTTATTTCTAGTGTACCTAATTATTACCATCAATTGCTACTTATGCAGCTCTGGCCCACTTATATGGCAGATTGCTCAAAAGGCTAAGGAGTAAGTTTGCCAAAAAAAACTGACTTCATTGGATAGAATGTTACTTTGAGCCAATATTACTAATAATAGGCTTTCAATTTTTAAAATGAAGGAGGAGTTTATTTAATCTTTATTCCACTTTATTAAAAATTGATAAAGTATACAATCTCCTGTGTAATGTGCTGAAAAATAAAAATAATGACCTTCAAAAGCCAACTTTTTATACTGTAATATTTCATTTTGTGTTCAGTATTTTCAACTTGAGAGGGCTCAAAGTAATATCTTTTTCCTAATATCGTAATCGAATTATTCTATTATTTCTATTATGCACATTCTTTCAAATATCTTTTTCTTTATATGTGGTAAAAAATGTTTAACCAGCTGCATTTTTATTGCTAAAAATAACAAATCTCTTGCACTGCAAAGCTATATACTAAAAATATATTTATTGCTCAGTTCAAGTGAAAATGAATAATTCTTGGAAAAAGTTTATTGTTATTTATTTTGCTGAGCTAGGTCCTTAAATTTTTTAAACTTTATATATATATATATATATATGAATATCATCTAGCGCCATACATACATTTTAAAGTTAAAAGGATAAAAGTTAATGGGTTTTGTAATAACAGAGGTTTCAACAAAACTAATCATGTACAGAGCTTGTCCTGATTCTAAGTTTATGCACTTGTATAATTTTGTCATCTATATTTGTCTGACTTCACTGTAATGCTTTGCTTGAACATTTATTAAAAAATTCTTTAAAATTAGTTTACATGAATGTTTATCATATTTCTAATTGCATTTAGGTCATTCTTGGCTAAATAACACAAATTCTTTAATTGAAGTCCTGTTCATAATATTATTACACAGTTTAAAAATAATATATTTAATACATTTTATAGATACAACAAGCAACATAATTTTCCTTCTGTACTTGTTATTAAGAACAAAAATCTTTTATTTTTACTAACAAAAATAAACATTTTATAATAAAACATGGTGATTACAATACATTTATGTAAAATACAATTAGTTAATAGACAACAGGAGTTTTTGTTCAGGAGTTTCAATTCATTATGAAACAGCATATTATTGTCTAGATATATGACACATGAGTGGTATAGTTTTCTTAAATGCAGAATAAAAGCATGCTTTTTATTTATTTTTTAAGCAAAGAAAAGCATGGTATTAAATTTTTGCATGATGGGATCAAGAATCATTTCTTCAGAATCACACTAATCACAATTATTATTTTTGTTTTTCTAATTAAAAAATATCTCTAAATAAAATATAACAGTATAATATTTTATTTCTTTTAATTTATAACAGTCATTATAATTTATAATAGTCATTAGTCATTGTTTTAATCTTGCAGGGTTATAATAAAGCTTTAAAAAAGTTAAAAATTCGACGGCCTACACCAATGTTTTCATCAAGATAAATATATATTTAAGAACTTCCTTTGTAGAAACAAATGACTGCTGAACCACCACATTGAAACAGATTTTCAAAAGAAAAAGTAATGTTGCAGACTATTTTCTCCCTTGTCTAAAATGCTTAAAAGTATTTATTTTTAAAAATGAAATTTTAGTTTGCAAATTTTTTTTTATAGCTCTTGAAACTAGTAAAGACAAACTAAATATTAAAATAAGTAATATTGCTGGATACATATTTTTGTGTTGATGGATGATTATTCTATCACTTATTAAATACAGTTGCCAGATAAGATTTATTACTTGTTACAAATACTGTTTTGGTAGCCCCTACCAAACACTATAAACTTTGAATTCTTTATAAAGAGTGGAAGCAAAAGGAAAAGAAATTTTTTTAAACTTGCTTTTGTCAAAAATAAATTCTAATTCATTTTAGCTAGTTCATTAATTTTATGCATGAATGTTTAGCCTTTTTATTGATGTTAATTTAGTTTTAAACAGTTATTTCATATTATAGATTTATATTGTTGCTTTTAGTACTTTTGTCAGTAAATTTCAAATTATTTCTAATTTGCATGATAGCAAGGAGATGTCTGAAAATGTCAATGACTTGATATTTTTTTTATAAAGCCACATTTAAATTTTCTTTTTATGTAGTTAACCCTAGATTTATACGACTTACTGAGGTATACAGTGTTCAACTAATTAAGGTTTATTCAATTTCAAAAGTTAACTCTTTAAAATCCTTTTCTTCATTATTATAATTACCTTTGTTGATAGATAGTGAAACTTATTTCTTTACTAATTTGCACACCTTCATTTTAATGCACATATGCTTTTCATTATTATCAGCAGATAGCACAAAAATAGTATTACATGCACATTTCAGTAAAAACAAAACTGCCTGTTGTAGAATAAAATACAATTTATATTGGTACAAATAATACAATTCAAAATAGATTTTTAAAATGCTTCTATAATGATGACTTAAAAGATAGTAGTAATTGATTTATTTATGTATTTATCATCTGAAGCTTTAATTAAAATAATAATAGTATTGAACATCTCTGAATAGACCTCTAGTTTGGATAACTTAAAAAATGGTGTCTCTGCATTGGGTTGATTAAGTTTCATAGTAATAGTAAGACCTGTCTTAAGTAATAACAAAACGGGTTGTAATAGAATAAAAGAAATGTTACATTAAGGCCACATGATATGAAAAGTTGAAAATTTTAAAATGTTCAACTTATCTAAAATCAAGGTAACTTAATAGCTAAATATTACATCAACAACAGGCCTGCTGCTAAGCCAAAGCCACAAGAAGAGCCAGCACCAGCACTACCTATACCAATGGATGAGCCAAGAAAATTTGATTCAACTGGCATGTTTCATTGGTGCCCAGACAGACCCCTTAATGATACATTATTGGTAATTAACATGTTAAAATGTGTGCACACACCTACATTATTGGTGCCAGATAGACCTCATTATGATACTTTATTAATCAAAGTAACATCGTATCATTATCTATGATTTAAAGATTAAATAAATTTATTACGCTCTGTTTTTGTAATCAGTTTTTAAATCATAAGGTTCAGTTTTTCTAACATTTGTCAATTTTTTTTTTTACAAATTTCTAATAGGACCGAAGTCAGGCATCGTCTAGTGGATTACGAAACCATGTCGTTGTATGTCTCTTTGCTGATGCAGCATCACCTTTGATTGGTCTTAGAAATTTAGTGATGCCTTTACGAGCAAGCAATTTTCATTACCATGAGCTCAAACATGTAATTATTGTTGGCAATTTAGAATACCTGCATAGAGAGTGGAAGACACTGCAAAATTTTCCTAAACTTTCCATCCTACCGGTAAGAAAATAAATTTGCCTAGCTTTTAGAGTTGTGTTGAATTTGTTATCTCCAATTTCTTAAAATGAATAAATTAAGTAAAAACATGATATGAAAAAGTTTTGAAAAAGTTTTTATTATTATAATGCAGATTTGAATTTCAGTCTTTTAAAAATGGACTGGAGGAAATAATTAACAGAAAAACAGAGTCAATATAGGCCTATATAAATTAACCTTTATAATAATTTTTCTTCATACAGCTAATATTTTAACAGCATATGTTTGTTTTTAAAGGGCTCACCTTTAAATCGTGCAAATCTTCGAGCTGTGAACATCAACCTTTGTGATATGTGTGTAATTGTATCTGCAAAAGATCGAAATATGGAAGATCCCAATTTGGTTGATAAAGAAGCCATACTTTGTTCTTTGAATATAAAAGCTATGACATTTGATGATACTGTTGGTTTAATACAGTCTTCAAGCAATACAAAAAGTAATTGTTTTAAATTTTAAAAAAAATTAAATTTTAAAATTTTATTCTAGTTAAGCACAATTGATGCATTTACTGTTTCTTTTCTTGCTGCTTAGGGGAGGAACTTTGGATTACCTTTTTAGTTGTTTTTTTATGGCCAGTATCATTTTCTCCCTGTACCAATCATATTTTTTAAAAACTTTTTATTTAGCTTTTGTACCTGGAGGATTTTCACCCCTCTTAGAAGCAAAAAGATCACAAGCAGGTGCAAATGTTCCACTTATTACAGAACTTGGTAAGTTTCTTTTAATCTTAGACTATCTAGATATAGTTGTTTGTACATTTTCTAAACTGAATAAATATTTTACTCTCTTTAGCTATTTAAAATATTTAGTAATTAAATTTTAAAAATTTCTCAAATTGTTTGCATATCCTAGTCAAACATTTGCTGAATTTAAAAAAAAAATAGCTCATCTTAATTATGAGATTTATTGTGCTGAATAAAATTTCAGTTCATATGTTATTCCAAATATGTAGCTATTTTGAATAATACATCTTTTGCCTTTATTCTTCTATTAGCCAATGACTCGAATGTACAATTCCTTGATCAAGATGATGATGATGACCCTGACACAGAACTCTACATGACTCAACCTTTTGCATGTGGGACAGCATTTGCTGTCAGTGTCCTTGATTCTCTAATGAGCACAGTAAGTTTAATGACAATATTACAATAGAAAAAAATAGGCCTATAAATCAAATTTTAATATAATTATCTTCTTATTAAGTCTCACCTATTAACTCCTGGATTATTTGTGTGACCTTAATCTAAAAATTAATGAACTGTTGTACATTGTGTTCTGTAAGCCAATTGGTCTATATCATCACAGGATTTGATTCTTTATTTTACTTACAAACTCTAAAGAAACATCAGAAAACTGCAGTATAAAATCATCACTGGAGACATTATACCGTTAAATGCAAAGAAAAAATAGGCAATTTAAAACTCCCTGAACACAAAAATTCAAATGAAAATTGTTTATTTTCAGAGCTATTTCAACGACAATGCCCTCACGTTAATAAGGACATTGATAACTGGTGGAGCAACACCAGAACTAGAACAAATCTTGGCCGAAGGTGCCGGGATGAGGGGAGGATATTGTTCTCCTGCTGTATTAGCTAACAGAGACAGATGTAGGGTGGCCCAAATATCATTATTTGAAGGGGCATTATCTCAGTTTGGGGTATGTAAAGCTTTTAGCAATCAATCAATCTTTGTATTTATTAAAAATAACAAGAAATATAATGAAAATTATCATGTAAGTAATTTTTAGATTTGTTATTTGTTTCCTATTAGCTATTATTATTTTTAAATAGGGTGGAAAGTATGGAGATTTGTTTGTGCACGCCCTGCGCAACTATGGAATTCTATGCATTGGGTTGTACAGATTTAGAGACACAAATGAATCAGTGCGTAGTCCATCTTCCAAGCGCTATGTTATCACTAATCCACCAGAGGACTTTCTTTTGTTGCCAACAGACCAGGTAAAGTATTAAGAAAAATAGTTTCAAAGTCATTTTGACTTTCATAATACTATTATTTCAGCTATTTTATTATTTTTTTTAAAGCATGCATTTTAAGATTTTATTTAAGAGCAGCAAGTTAATTATTTTCTAATCAATATTTTCATATTTACTTAATATATTTTTCTACTAACATTTTCTTAAAAGGCTTTAAAGTATTAATAGCTTGTTGTGGTTTAATTATTTCTAGAATACTGTCCACAAATTTTTAGGTTTGGTTTTTTAAAGTAGTCAGCTTGTTTTGTTTCTACAAAACAATTAACTTATAAATTCTTAACACATTTTATGTGTTTAATAGTCTTAATCATACTTACATATTTTGAAAACTACAAAATTGTTTTGTTATAAGTATTGTAATAAACATCTTAAGGAGACTACATTTAAATTAATTAAATGGTCAACTAAACTAAACAGATAAAACCAAGTTTATTATATTATATTTTAATTATTCAATTTCAGAGCAATTAACACATAGCGATGCACTTAAAAAATATTGCGGTCTCTGTACAACTGATATATTAGAAATAAGTTAACCCCTAAATATATACAGTGCCTGTTGTAAAAAAATTTCAGCATTATAAAATTTTTGCAGGTGAAAAATACATCTCAGTTAGATTGTAATAAACTACGCTATTTTGTTTTTTAATGGATAGTTTTTGCAGTTGCTATAAAATGAAAAATCTTTGATAGATAGACTAAAATAATTCTATTATATTTAAATTTTTTGGAAATAAAAATGTACTTTTAAAAAACTAAGGCAGAAAACTTTTTCATGTTTAAATATACTATTTCTTCACATTTTCATCAAATAATTTAAGATGCCTGAATATATAGATTTATGCAGTGACGTTGCAATATGTTTTTGCTCTATTTCAATGTTTATAAAATTTCAATCAATATCAAAATACATTATATTTTAGTACCTTTTATCAAAAGTTTATATTTTTTTTACTTTCTGCAATACAGTGAATAGACATAAAAAGTATTCACAGTTTTCTATTTGACTTTTAACTCTGACCAAACATTCCATAATTGGTTTAGGAATGAGGTTATGTGTGTGTTGGGGAGGTTGTTGCCACCACTTCCCTCATTATAAGTTTCAACAATTGGTGATGGTGGCACTGAATGCCATAAAACCAGTTTCATATTTTAATACTTTGAAATAAATACATAAATAAATATATACATATATACACATATATATATATATATATATATATATATATATATATATATATATATATATATATATATATATATATATATATATATATATATATATATATATACATTTTAACCACTCCCCATTGACAAAATCCTGCCTATGCCACTGAATTACATACTTTTGTGTACAAACCAACAAAAATCTTTTTGTGCCCAGGAACAAAGAGAAAGCACAGCTAAGATTTTTGGTTTTATTAATAAGGCAAGAACAACAAATAAGTACATGGGATCCCTGCATAACTTAAGATTTGAAGGAAACTTAAAAATTTCAAATCTTGTACTGCTATTTACATTGGTGATAAAAAGACTATACAAGATGTTAAAATTTGTACTTAAATTTCTGTCTTTTACATGATGCTGTCAGCAACAGATTTTCTAAAGTAACCTGTTTAAAAAAAAGGAATAATTATTAATATTTTTTTAATTTTAAAAATATAAAAAGCATTAAGCATAGAAATTGAAACAAAAATGTTTATCAAAATCAAGAGAAAGGGTGATTTAAAAAAAAATAATAACAGTGAAATTAGCTTTTTCTAACTGCAGATTAAAATTTAGCAATCATGTTACTTGCTTAGCAAAAGTGTAATAATAATGGTAAAAAAATGGAGTGTAAAATTTGATAAGCAATATGATGACAATACTAATATTGTTTTTATGCAATTAGAGATTTGCTTGGTGTGTGGAGTCTTGACTTCAGTCACTCTCTTTTTTTTTTGGAAATGCTTATTGCAGTTTTAAGTGGAAACACAATCCTTGGTACTATTTATAAAGGGCACAAAATGCTGTTGAGATTTAATAATAGAAAGTATTTTTAAAATGTCACTTGTGTCTGAAATAAATTTCAGGATTTTGTTTCTTAAGATTTTTAGTGATGCAATTGTTTTGATTGACAAATTGTATTTTTCTTTTGGTTCCTACTTTCTTTCCCTCCCGAAAACAGGTTTATGTCCTCACCTACAAACCGATAACAAATCTATAGGTGCTGCAGTGTGAGAAAATAAATTTCAGGGGCGACTTTTCATCTATGCAGCTGGTCCTTAGTTGTTAAAGTGAGTGCCTTGCATTGACAAAAAAGGTTGGGTGTTGCAGTAATAGACTGGCTGATGATATTCTCATTGTAGTTGAAAACAGAGCTGTTATTTTTCATGTTTCTTTTTCTTTATGTTATATCAAGTTGACATTTAAATTGATTATTTTAATTCTATTTTAAAATAATCACTTTAGCAATTGAATAGGTATGTCTTTCTAAGTAAAGTCAAGTTTATATATTTATACACAAATATATAGTAAGTATATGTAAATGAGTAGATACATGTCAATCTATCTATCCATATATATATATATATGTATATATAAATGTAATTATAAAGGTAGTCCTCAATTTATGGGATAGCTGCATTCCTGTAGTAGCCATGTCAAAGTGAATTGATGTGGGCCCTAAGTTGTAGTGTAGCTGCTCAATTTGAGTCCCAATCAATTGTTAGTCTTTATTGTGAATATGTGTAAATCAGCATAAAATGAAGGCTACTTGTATAAATATATATTAAAAATGTATGTATGTATATGTATGTATATGTATATATATATATATATATAATATATATATATATATATATATATATATATATATATATATATATATATATATATATATATATATATATATACATACATACACACATATATATGCATGTATGGGCATTTCTTAAAAAAAGACACTATGTAGCATATGCTGAATCACATTTTCCAGTCTCCATGGTTGCATCCTACTAACTTAGCCCAATTTGTTGTTACCTATGGGAATGCTACCTAGGTTAAAATAGTGCATGCAGTTTTTTATGTGACATGTATAACTACCTCACAAAATACTAATATATTTAACTATAATCTTTCTTAACAGGTCAATGACATTAGAATTTGCTAAATTTTTAATATCATTATCATTTGACAATAATTATTAATTTTTACAGTATTCTTATTCATGTAATTGATATTTTAAAAATTTTGTATTCTGTAAAAAAAAAAAAAATAAATAAAATTGAAATTATTGCATACACTTTAAAAATTTACTGTTTTTAATTCTATTGCAAATTATATCATATTCTCTGCATTTGGGGGTTAATGTTTCAATGTTTTATTTTTCCTGTATTACACTTGTTTACTTTTATTCTAATTTTTAGGTAGTGTCAGTGACATTAGTTTGATGGATTTACAGTTTAGTGTGTAATGTACATTATTAAGCATATTTGAGAGTAACACACAAGTTTAATTGATAAATATAAGTGTTATTAATTAATAAATTAATTAAAATTTCCTTCAACCTTAAAATTCATCTAATAACTTGATATACAGTATTATAGCTTCACAATACTTTTTATTTTATTTTTCACTTGTAATAATTTAAACATAATTAGTAAATTCTCATTAGTTGGCAATTTGATTTCACAAAAGTTACTAGAGGTTTTTTATTCTAAACTAACCGAAATACTTGTTTACGTTATTTCTTACTGTTGCTGACAATCACTTTTACAAGTGGTTATTACATAATAAAAATGACTAGGTTAAGTTTTAACACTTTGTTTGCAATATGTTAATACATTTATCATGTTAGTTAGATAACAATTAAACAATTAACTGCCTATTATTTTTAGTTATTTTTATGCATGTTTAAATTTAAAAAAATAGTGTTATTCAATGTAAGATGGATTTAAAACTTAAGTCATTGGCATCACACTTTCATTTTCTTTGCAGTTCTGTGTGCTAAATATAGGCTAAATTTAAAACATTCCAATTCCCTCACACACAAAAAACTAATTTTATTTAAAATGATAGAAATCTTTCTCCTACCATAATTATCAGCATATAAGACATTCATTTTTCCTAAAACATTTCCTTCACCATAAAATATGGAGTGGTAGATTTTCTATTTTAAAAAAAAAAGTTTCCTTTAAAAAAAGAAGTGTGTGAATTAAGAACTACAGTGCCCTAACAGTTTTTTCCGTGCTGATTATTTGTTTCTCTCTAATTCTCTTACAGTTCAACTGCTGCCTTATCTAAACATAAATAACTGTATTTGCATGAATGCAAATTTAGTTTTCTATTGTGACTTATTATTAGTAAACATTTCAAAACTTTTAAGAATGTTTAAAATTAATATAGAAACTACTTTAAAAAAGGGTTTAATATAATTCAAATAGGGACAAAATTGTAATTTGTTTATTACTTCTCCAATTTAACTTCAGTAGAAGCTGGAAAATGCTTTCTTTAATAAAGGACAAATGAAAGAAAAAGCTTCTCACATTTACTACCAAAAAAAATTTTTAATAAATGAGAGGACATTGAGTGCATTCCTACTGTATACTTGTGCAAAAATATGTGAACTAGCTATTGACTTTTGACAAGGTTGCACTATAAGTTAACCAAGTAGGTTCATATACATAAAAGTTTTGCTTTTACTAAAATGAACTGCATAATTATTTTTTTTTTGCATTGCTAATTATGTTTTAATAAATGGCTGCCATTTGCTGTACTTGCTGTTGGGGAGTGCAGAGGAGATCTTCCTCTTACCAACACTTTCACTTATTTTATGGTCACACTAAATTTAGAATGATAAAACTCACACATAAGCATTACAATTGTAGCAATTTCCAAGTAGTTTCAGTTTCTTGTGCTCACACCACTTATTTCCAATTTTTGTCACAAGGTAGGTATTTTCACATGAAGAACATATTTCGAAGTATAATAATCATCCATTTACAAGGAATAAATCGCATCATTTGTTAACAACCTGGCAAATGTAAAATATATTCTTTTTGGGCCTTAAAGAGCTTTAAAAGCTGTTACAATATTTTCTTTCCATTTCTTCTCACAGTATTGCTCCTATAAACATCTATCTTTTATATAAATCTAATATAAAACTTGTGCAATTATAGTTACTATTTAAACTCAATGAAATCTATGTATTTACTTTATATTTCCAACTATAAAAATAATATTCTGTTTCTAATTTCAAAATATTCACTTGCTAAACTACTTTTAAAATGAAACTTATTTTTAGATAATTCCAAATCCTTTTTACAAATCCTTATTTTAACATTCTGTTATGAAATGTAATTGTGTAAAATGTACTGCTTGTTTGCATGTTAGAACAAAAAATTGCAAACTGACACGTAATTATATTTAAAATTACTGTGTAAAAATTATTCTTATTTAAATTCCAATACTAGATATAATAATAATTATTGTCTTCTAATGCTATGAACCAAGGAATTAAATGGAAATAGAAGCTAATCATTCGTTTTCTATATTCATTTCAGGCCTTCTGTCTTCAGCCTTTTAACTACAATGATATTGTAAGAAAGATGAAACGTCGTCCCAAGAGTAGTGGGCAACGAAGTGAAAATAGTGAAACCGATATCTAAAATTCGATCAATATAATTGTAGTTAATCACTCGTCACCATTCATTTTACTGACATTGAAGGAATTTATTGGCTACCATTGGTGGAATAAAATATATTTTTAAAGAGGTCTTTAGGATTAAAGTTCTATTTTTTTAAACTATTGCTGCAGTTAATGCGCTATTTTTTGTTACCAGTTGCTGTGCTTACTACATCTTTCTTTATTTAAAGAAAAGAAAAAAAAATTCTCATGATTATTGTTTGGTAAAGTTTGCTTTTGCATAAATTTCTGTTTGAATTCCATGATTTTAACTAACAAAAGCTAATTCCAACATTAATTGTTTTGAATCAATCAGGCTGCAAAAACTTAATTTTATTTATGTTACAAAAAAAGTTTTAAAGTGGTTTACATTGTTCTTAAAATGAACATCTGCTTTGGTTTTGTGTTGACAACTTATCAAATTATAAATTTCAAAAGCAGCTGTCAACTTTTTATCATGACTTGAACCTGGTTACGTTGATTAAATGAAAGCACTATTTGAGACCTAATACCACCATTTTAAAACAATGTTATCGAAAGAAGGTGATTTCAATAATTTTTTTAAAAATCCACTGGTGGTAGCCCATAATCAAACAACTGATTACTTTATTTGTATATACATAAATCAACATAGCCATCTTTTTTAGTCTGTTTTAAAGTTTTATTTTCCACTTGAGGGTCATAAAACTTTTAATAGATATTATCATATAAATGCCCTATTTCTTTTCATACATAATGCTTTTTTGTTTGTTAGTACTTACTTTTGTAAAATAAAATATAATTGAGTTATTTCAATTAAAATAAAAATAGGACTAAGCTCTAGAATTTTATGCAATAAGATTTCAATATCTTAAAAGTAAGCAGTTGTCTTTTCTTGTAAGTCTTAGGCAGGGTATAATGAAAATAGACATACACTTTTTCAATATATGAAAGTGTGTGGACCATAATATATACATCATAGCAACCAGATAAACATCTCACTGATTCCTAAAAAAATGTTCTTTACTATTACTGGTTGAAATATATAATAAGTATATGATACCCAGGGTGCTGTAAAGGTAATGTTTCTATTTTGTATATTGAAATTTTTAAAACAGGACATTTAAATAAGAAACTATATGAAGAGAACTGAAGACTTAAGATCATTTAAAAAATGTATTACCTGCTTTTTACAGAAACAGAAATGGAAAATTATCAACATTGAAATACATTTATATTAGCAGTGTTTAAAATTATTTTTTTTACAGATCTATGTTTTAAAAGTATAATTTTAAAAATAATTTTCAATATATTTATATAATTTTTAGAATTTAATATATGATGTGTCCATAAATAATTATATCACTGAAAAGATTTTAGTTATGATTATTCATATATTTCAAGTGCATATTAAAGCAAACATTATTGAAGGAAAAGATTCCTTAGAAAATGAGGAGATTAAAGATAAAATTTTGTACTGTTGAAGTACTCTTCAAGACATAAAGATTTAATTAGAAACTGGAAAAGTGTATTATGCTATCAAGATTGCATGTTTGTTCATTAGTGGTATAGACTGCAATACATCTGTTAATTTCTGAATTTACAAACATTTTAATACAGCAACTTTCAGGCATAGCCATGTAATAACAATTTATCTTTGTAGCGTCCTATTTGTATGTCATAAATGGCTGTAGATTTAACTATTTTTAAAATGAAGAAAAAAGTAAGATGTGAATGTTTATTGCTCTATATATTCATTATTTTATCATGTGAAAGATTTAATTTTCAACTTAATTTTCATTTTCATGATTCAGTCAACATTAATCATTTAATTACATTTTTAATTTTTTAGTCCTCATGTAAAGTCTTAAAATGGTGATTGACTTGTAAATATGTTTGATAGAACTTGATACAGTATTTGAATAAGAGTTTTTAATAAGAGTCTGAAAGAATGAATTACTGGTTTTAAATCAAAATTTGTTTACCAATTATTTTTAATGTACAAGTGCACAGCCTGTTAATTATCAAATGTTTGGTATAGATTACTTGCTGTGCCTTCAGATTTATTGTGCTTGTGAGTTTTTTTTTTTGGTACATAGCTATCGACAGTAATTTCACAATTTAACAAAAAAAATCACATTTGTAAGTTACTGCACTAAAATAACTACTTGAAAAGGTGATTGTTTTGTTTGTAAATAGTATGAAAGTGATTTGAAATATTTTAAAATGATTTTTCCTAAGTTCTCCCATGTATTACCTATATGCAATTGATTCAATAAATAATAATTAGTGTTAACCAAAATCTTGAGGTTGATGAATTGACTAACATTTTGAATTTAGTTTTTTTTTTTTTGTTTGAACCCATGTGTTACTGTACTGAAAGGTGTGTAGCTTGTGTTTGTATAAATGTACAGAAATAGTTTGTGGTGTGCAACAGCAAATTTACTGAACTAAAGTAGATGGTAACAATTTGTATATCTAGTTTAGCCTGTGATTAAAAATAAGTAAATATTAAGTAGTTCACCCAGTCTGTTTATCATCCAACATCTTTTACCTTATATTTACAAATTAAATATTTAGATGTAAATAGGTAATGTAGGCGCTCTGCATGAACTGTGATATGTACAAAAACGTTTTAGCAAACACTTGTTTACTTATATTCTTGGTAAGCTGTTGATGTAGTTCACTTTTGTCTCCCACTATGGGTTTTCTTATGTTGGTCTGTAGCACACACAAGTATTGAAGTAATACAATTACTTTCTTCCAAAGTTGATTTGTTTATATAATATAAATTATAAATAGCTATTTCCATGAAAATAAATTATATGTGGGCTTGAGATTTTTAAAATTGTTGATATAAATTACATGCCTCTACACTTTGCTTGAACAGTGTATCATACTTTTTATATCACCACTTTGCATGTTATGCTATCAGTTTTAAATATGCAGATCAGTTATGAACAATAACGTTTATCTTTAATTCCCATCAGTTAAAATTTAATTAACTGAAAAATAAACTTCTAATTACTTTTCATTTTTGAAAACTACATACACAGCAAGCCTTTAAAATACTGATAGAAACATTGTTAAAAATTAAACATGAAAGTCAATTTAAATGTCACACCAGTATTCAGACATCAATGTTTTTTATGATAAAAAATTAACTACATTAGGGTCCATACTGAAAATAATTTGTATCCTGCTAGAATAGCTATGTTATGTGTCTGTTCACATTTTTAATAATGCAGAAACATTTAATAAAAACTTGATACTACTAGAGCAGTATTTGCTTATGGTGTGAAGTTTGCTTTGGAATATACTCTTAATTAATAGATAGGCCTACATACTGTTGCACCTTGAATATTATGTGTTAAAATGTGTTTTTTTTTGTGAATTCAAGATAAGTAAAATTATTTTAACATCATGTAACATCTTGAAACAAGTAGTAGAAAGAAGTCGGTGTCCACAATGTGTATTGTAGATCTAGAATCTCGATATATTTGTATGTTTACAGTATTCATGCTACAATAGAATAGTTAGGTTCTAAACTGACCTATTAGAATGTTAATTTCCTCTCTAACTTGTCAGTATTATATTTTAAATCTATCAGCATTGCTAAAAATATTATCCACTACATTTAATATTTCATTTTATCTGGAAACATATTATTTCATAAAAAGAATGCTGATGCGTTAATTTTAGCTTCAATTTGATAAAGCTAATATTTCATTTAAGCTAATGACATTTTTTTTATTAATGCTAATCACTAGCCTTTTCAACAAAGGTATTAAAATATATCCATAGATAAAATCAAAACAAGTAGTGTTTATTGTAACAAGATATGTAAAACTTGTTTCATATCCTTTAAACCTCTTGCACAGCATGCTTACAATATGAACATGGTGTAATTCTGAACTAATGAATTTCAATCAAATATAAGCTTTACTTTATTCCAATAAATCTGTACATACTTTTTCCAAGATAGTCAGTTTTTAGCAAGTTGCATTTTCTGTTTTGGATTGGATTTTGAACAAACCTTTATTCATTGTCTGGATTGTGTTATCTCACTTGTTTTCCCAGATTTATCTGTTCTTTGCTCCTCATTTTCAACTATTTGCTCCCATTTTTTTACATGCCCTATTTTAAAAAATAAAATTTCTTAAGAACAAATATATTCTTTCTTCATTGTTTAAAAAAAAAGTTTTTAACCATAGATCTGAAAGATAGTAAGGGTTTATTTTTAATTTTTGTTTTTCTTTTAATAGAAGGGTACAAACTTAATTTTGATCATTTTTACCCATTGCACTATGCAATAAGCATAATTAAGTAATGGAGTCATACACCATTGACAAAAACATTTTTTTGCTTTTCTGACTTGCAATAAATCTGTAGTTATTCTTCTTCTTTCTTCTTCGTTCTTAATTATTAGTGTTGATGGGGGTCGAGATTTATCTGCCAGTGAGTTTGAACTAGAGACTTTGTTCGAATTTATCAACCATGACCTTTTTGCAGACTCGACCACGCCTCGAACACAATTAAGCGGTATGTGTCAACTGGTTATGCGCCATTGAGGCCATTGACTCCGATTTCAGCCTGCTTTTCTTTTTGGATTTGCTTCCATAGCCTTTGTCCAACCAAGAACAAACTACAAGGCAGCAGTTGTTTAATTTTGGAGTTGTCTCTCCTAGAAGAGTGGCTGTCCCCAGCTAACGAGCCTCATCTGCTCGAGGGTTCGAACCATGAGCTTTACCGACGCGACCACGCCCACCCCTGTAGTTATTCTAAAAAAAGATAATGTTTACATCTATTGTATAGGGAAGGATGTGAAATAAAAAAGTAATTCAGAAGTTGACATCACAAAAAATTTAATGATTATAAGTTCACTGACAATAACACTGCACTTGATGGTTGCCATCTTATCACTGTACAATACATATTCAATACATTACATTACAATACATAAATCATTTCAGTATTGAAAATAAAGAAAAATGTACTTTTGAAAAATAAAATCCAGTTATTAATATTAGTGTAAGCTGTTGTATTTAAATACCAAAAGCTTGTAACAGGAATTTAAATCTTTTGATCCGAAAAGGGGTCTTAGTTACAAAATGTGGATTCATTATTTGAAAGTAAATGCATCAGGCGAAAAACAATAAAGTAGGTGATTTCTAAAATAAATATAACTTATTGCAAAAAAAAGTTTTCGTTTAATGTTAGTTTAAATTTTGTGAAAGGTTCTATGCTAACATGACTTACAATTTATTGGAGATCTTTGCAAGAAAAACTATTATTGCCTACCTTTTCTGTAAAAATTTGACAATAAAATTTAAAGTTTTTAAAAATAATCATCAAGTAAATTAAAATTGTAGTAGCATTTACTACAACTAAAAAAAATTGAAAACAAAAACTGCTAATTTTGTCCTCATAAATGCAAAAAATAGTAAAACTATAAATTAGTCCATTACAAATTGAGTGCACTTTCATAAAGCCTAAAATTTGGGGATTCGACAGAAACTATTGTCTAAAATAAAACAAACACAACTGAAATGTGCATAAAATAATATCTAAATATAACAAAGGTGTGAATCTCCCATTAACTTTCAGCAGATAGCAACAGCATTCCGTTGTGGCTTGTTGGACTTTAACATGATGTATTGAGATGCAGCACAACTTAGTAGGCCCATTAATCTTAAATTCTATCCTTTCAAATATACCCTTAAATAATTCTTCAAAATATCTGCATAATATATATATATTTATATCAAAGACAGCAAAAAAATGTCAAAAATGTAAATACATTTAGCCTGGTTATCAGGCTCTTACAATACATGATACACTGTAGGACAAATAGTTACTAAACAGGAGGCCTACTACAAGAGACAAGTAAATACAGAAGAATCACACCAATTTTTAAATACCACTATACAACAGCAATAATACATTTGTTCTTTATCACATTCAGTTGTATGAGCTGATAGATTCATTCTCAAGACAAAAGTGTTTATGTTAAAAGGTTGTGTTAAACAATTCCAGATCAACAATGTGTACACGGAACAAACTGATCCATGTTTTTAAAAAATTTCACTCTTGATTAATCCCAAATATTTTAACTTGAGAGATGTGTTGACTAACAATAAAAGCAGGGTGGAGATCAAACACACACAGAAAAATATTTTGTAGATTGGTTTTAAGATGGATAGAAAGAACTGATCTACTAATCAAGAGGAATGGGAGTTTCAACATGTGCACAAACTGTATAGCAGATTTTTCAATATGTATATTTGACTAAATGACAGATGTAAGAGGAGTGTAATTTGTACTTCACACAACATTTAGCATTATTTTAAATAAAAGCCAGCATTCTAACAAAAGGTTCATAATGCTATTTACCAAAAAAAAAGACCAAAACTTATAATTACTTCGAGTAAATTAAAATAAATTTGATTTTTTTTCCTGTTGTGTTGACGGAGAAACAATTTTATAATTAATTATTAATTAAGTAAAGAATTGTAAAACAAATATTATGAGACACAAGACTAGATACATCTAGTCTTTACAACAAGTTTGTTTTATAACACAATCAAATACCAGTGACTATACCTGATGTAAATTATCAAAAAACTGTATAAAATATTTGTAAACAAAAAAATAAATTTTTCCTAAAGTTTTTTTTTATCTACAACAAAAAAATATCATTGTAATCTGTGTACCCAAATATGTATATATACAATGATTAAAAATATTCTGGGTATTTGAATTTTTAATAGAGGGTGTAAAAGATAGCAATGAATTTGGCAGAGAATAAGTTGTTATCAACTACTGTCATGATTAGGTAGAATACATACATTAGGTATAATGTAACAAAAGAAACAACTAAAAAAAACCCCACCTACAAATTAAAACTAACCAACAAACCAAGCCAATGTCAGAATACTTTTCTCTTAAAAGAACTGTTCACCACCCACAAATATTTATAGCATTAAAAAAAATAGTACAGGATAAACAATGAATAACAACATCTTTTCTTTTATTATTAGCAAACTACATACACTTTGACTAGTTATACATAAAATTGGGCAAATTATATATATATATATATATATATATATATATATATATATATATATATATATATATATATATATATATATATGCAAATACATACATGTGTTCATGTTGTAGCAACATTACAATAAAATCATATTTCATATTACTTTAAGTGTGGTTTAATTTAAAGAATTTATTACATTCATTACATAAATTGTTACTATTTCTAGTAGATAATAGTTTAAGTAAATTGCCAGAGGAATAAATATGAAGATTTTAATTTCATGATTAAGTAGTTAGATCAACAAAATTTTATAAGCAACACCTAAAATAGCAGAACTATGATTTTGGTTCAAATAAAAAAAAACAATTATTAGCCTGTCCATGGGCTATTAAGTAGATAATATATATTAAAAAACGTTTATGATGGATACATTTTTATGATATGAAATATATGGCAATAAAAATTTGTAACTAAGTTCCAAAATTTTCTCACATTGTATTTGTTTCAGGGAATTCTAGTAAAATTTATTAAAGATCATAATTTAAAAAATTAACATGCATCTTTGATTTCTTAGTTTTCTTTTTTTTTTTAAAATAATGTTAATTATTTTTATTTACCTACATATACATCTGACTTATACTTAGAAACAATTTTATTCTTGTAAATTCAAGATAAAATCCTGATATGAATTAGAAATTTGAAAACAAAAACAACTTAAAATTTAGGTTGTAATTTCTCAAAAATATTGTAAATATTGATAATTTGATATGAAATAGTATTTATAACAGTTTTGTGAATTGGAATGGAGAAATGTGCACAAGCAGTGGCAATACTAAAATTAATTAGTTTTTGGATAATTCCATTAGGAAAATGTTTATAACACAGAATATTAACAATTTTAAAACCAAGTTGCTTTATCAAAATAATGCTTGATTTTAAAAACCTTATTTTGATTTACAGCAGGTTATTAACTACTATCACAGTATCATTTTTCTTATATACTAACTAACTCTAGAGTGTTTTTAAAGTCTCAGGCTCTAGAACTCAAATTTCAAACAATAAAAATACACAGCATTAGCAAATGTGATCAGGTGAGTTATCACCCATGCAACATGCTACAAGACTAACAACCAAACAAAACCCAACAAGCTACGAGATACACTGACAAGTTTAAAAACTTGTGATTCTCTTGACTAAAAGCTAACAGACGTCACTGAAAAACCCTTGCTAAAACACACATCTGAACTCAAGTGCTACATCAGAAATAAAACTTGCCCCAGTCGCCTGGGTTTTAGGAAGACAGAATGTTTTGCTATATGAAAAGAATAGGGTAAAAGGGCGACATTCTTCATCACGATTTGTTTGACAGTTTGAGATTTTAAATATCACACTGGAACCATTTGTCCTAAGAACTGTAACTTGATGTTATTTATAACATTTTTTATAGTAAAATGTTTACCTTAAAGTAAGAGAGTTGAAAGAGCCTAAGCAAGATCTTGAATCAGCCAAACTTCAGGGACAAAGATGACAAAATGGAAAGAAAAGCCTTGCCTAGCGCTCAAAAGTTTTTTAAGAAAAAAGTATTAGAGTAGATTTTCTGTTTGATGTTGATGAACTTACTATCCAAAATATGTAATTAAAATCTAACAAAATTAAGAACTTCATTTAAATTTTTAAGCTTTAATAAAAAGAAAATAGCAAGTCAAGCTTATATAAAATTTGTATAGCATTTATTGACATAAAAACATTTAATAATAGTTTACTTTATGATTTATATTGAATCTTTGCTTAAGCAAATGTTAGGACTAAGTGACATTGTTAAAAAATGTATGGGCTTAAATGAGAATATTAATTTAAAATTACAATGATGATACAGATCTTCAGAATACATTTTATGAAACCATACATTTAGATTTAGCATTAACAAATAATCAGTTAATATTAAATATTTATATTTTTAATCATTACTTTTGGATAAATTACTTTCTGAAATAAAACTGATTGCAAAAATTTAAATTAGATTACTGATTTCATACATGCAGTTGTTTAAAAAAATGTGAGGACAGAATGATATAGCCTGGTGCATGTCATTGCAGAAAGCAAGCATGATATTGGTCAAAAGGAATGTTAAACAAATCTCTTCTAGAAAACAAGAAGCAACTCAAGAGATTAATCACCAGAAAACAACAAGAAACAAACTAATTCAAGGAATGGAAATTTCAAGAACAAAACAGGATTAACTAGTGCTAGATCATTGAATTTTTATAATACAGAAAGCAAACCAATAAAATAAATAAAAACATGAAATTCCTGTACATTTTCTAGATATGCAGTACATTCCAAACAGACAACAACAAGTGGATTTTATCACTTTGGAGACTTTTCTTCAAAGTCTTTGATAAAACCAAAGTGAGGTTTTATTATATCAAAAAGTAAAAGCAAACAACAAGATGCTTTAAGTGCCTGGGTTATTGAGAACAGCACAGTACAAGGAAACACAGCCTGGAAGTTAAAATCTCAGTACACTACTGATAAAATAGGAGAAGCATTTCATCATGGTATTTCAACAACGGGCAGGCAAAAAAAAAAATTGTTTTAGGAGAGTTTACATTGCACTTACGCATAACGTCTGCAGCTCAGAAAAACTTTGAATGTTAAAAATCTGAATCAGAGTCCCTGAAAGCAACATAGTTAATCATTAAATGAAAAAAAAAATAATTGTGTACAAGTAAAAGGTGCCAGTTTAAGTACCTATTCTATAGTCCATCCCTTTGACCAAAGAAGGGACAAATAAACATGAAGTGCTGTACCTGCAGATCTTAGATTTCAACTCTAGTGCATATAGGTTAGATGTGCTAGAAACTTTTGTACAGCTTATTGGAAAAGGAATGTAATGGCCATTTTAAGTAGTCATCGTATTTGATTAGTTGTGCAAATAAATAAATAATCTGGATATGTATATAATTTTAAGTAAATGATATGTTGAAAGGCGTGTTTATCCTGTATATAACACTAACAGTTTTTTTTAAACAAGATATAAAAGACTAAATATTTTTTCAATGCACAACCATATGAAGAAAAGCAGTTATATCCAAAGAAAGGATATTTTAGAGATTCAACAATCAGATTTTTAACCACAGGACAAAGTAATATAAATGTGAGACAAACTGTCGATTAAGGGAAATGTGCTGCTGGGAAATGACTAATTATTATCCAAATTAAATTTTTAAAGTAGATTAGTTTGTAAGCAAAATAAATTTAGTCATAACAAGCACACATAATTGATGAACATTAAAAGACATTACTGAAACTCTTCATCAGAGTTGAGCAGAGTTGTCTTCTCATTGAATCTATTTTTCTTTGCGGCAGGAGCCCCAGAGCTGGTGGCGCCCTGAGCTGGAGGTTGTTGTTTGCTTTGTTGTTGTGCTGCTGCTGCGGCACCACTAACTGCATTTCCAATGCTGTTAGTTATTGGCAACGGTGATGTTGTCTGGGGGGTTCCATTGGATATGGGACGTTGTTGCTGGTACTGATAGTGGTCATTATTCCAAGGTCCATCTGGGTGGTCTTCTTCTGAGGGCTTCATCCCTTGCTGAGTATATTGTTGATATTGGGGATGGAAGTTATGAATGGCATCCTAGAAAAGAAAAATATTTGTTATTCAATACTAAATCTTTAAGATTCAACAACCTTAAATAGTTACCAATAACATTCTTCTTTACTGGTAGCAAAAAAAAAAAAAACACAATAAAAAAACATAGCAAAATGTAAGATAACCAAATGAAATAAAAATTCATAAGCATTCAGGAATAAAGATTTTGCCCTTACCTGCATGATATCTCTGGGGTTCATGGTTTCCTTGAGACTGCTGGAGATAGACTGCAGTGAAACAGTTCTGCCATGAGTGCTGGTAGGGCCCGTGCTGTAGACACTGTGTGGAAATGCAAACCTTAAAGCCACAGAGGCAAGAAACATTTCCATGCAAATGAAGAAGTTCTGCCAGCCAGCTGACACCGTACCCACATTCACAGCTTTGGATCCGTTTTTAGAAAATATGGGGTCAATGACATTAGCCTTTTCCAGGACAGCAAGTACCACACCTAAAAATACATTGTCAGAAAACTTTTCATGTAACTAACAATAATAAAGGCCATTGATGTGTGTAAATTGTTTAATTATATCATTATTGAGATTAAATAATACATTATATCATTTAGAAAATTTATTATAGATATTACAATAGTATAAGAAGTCAATTAAAGATATATTTATATGGAATAGTAGGATTTTAAAAATCTGCAAAGTATTAGTTAATTATTAACATAACAAATTACTAATCAAAATAGTAAAACATCACTAAGAGTCTTAAAAATTTGGTATCAGATGAATAACAAACACTACTTCACTGTGTCATAGACTAACCTTGCCAAAAGGAGAGAAAGATAACAGATTTAATGATGCAGAACTTGAGGATAGGATCAAATGGACTAAGGAGATCCCTTGTGGCCAGGTAAAACATAATGAGAGCATACAAAGCTAAGCTGACAGAAATGTTGTAGATAATCGTGATGTACAGGTAACCACTTGCTGGACTGTGAAATGTGAAAAATACATGTGAACTATTATATATTTGCTAAATCTTTCAAACTATTAGCTTAAGTAGTATTATAATAGCTATCAAATGCTATGTTATGAATAAAAAAAAAGTTTTATACATTAATAACTAAGTAAATGCTCACGAAAAGTTTCCATCCTTATAATAGCCAAAAGCTTGCAGCAAGAGAGTTAGTATTGCCATGACTGGTTTTATAAAGCAAAACTGTAGTGTGGCCTGTGGCATGGATTTGGAAACAAAAAATATTTACTAGGATATTTAGTGAAGAAAATAAAACATGGTGAGCTAAAAATTTTAATTGTTTTAAAAATGAGCAAGTACACTGGGGCACTTGAGTGTGAACAAATGGGCAAGATAATTTCTATATCACCTGTTTACAGAAGCGTAAAAATCCAATGGTGTACTGTCTACCAGCAAAGCAGCATGTACAGTGTAGCCAGCTGGACCTAACGGAGACAGGCAAACAGCTTTCAAATCACAGGAAAATAAATTTACCCACAAATCCATTAACCAATTCTTTTACACAGTGATCAAATCACTTTCCATGATTGTAGTTTAATAGTTTTTTATTCAATAACTATATAGTTCGGTCACTGTTTGTGTTCTAGAAATAACAATCAGCAATATTAATTTATCAAGTATACTAGAGTAATAGCAAATAATTAAATCCAAACCATATGTTTCATAACAAGGCAAAACACATGTGGTTAACATTCCTCTACAAGGCTTTAGATTTCAGCAAGTAAATTGTTTCTTACTGTATTGGTTTGCCTCTAATCTCAGACATGATAGCCCCTTCTCCTCCAAGATATTCATAGCATAAGCTTAGGAAACTATAGATGACAAAAGCTGTAAGAACAAAAAAAATATCAACTGAATAAATAAAAACAACCACAAGAAAACAGATATCAAAAAGGGTTTTAAATAATTCTTAAACATGTTTTAAAAAAAAACAATAAAAATTTAAAGCTCATGTTTCAAGGATAAAGTATAAATAAAAACCAAACCTTCATAGCAATCCCTGAGACTGTCAAAGTAAACATAGTAATTGTCTTTGTTGAAGAACATTAGACTGAGAAATGAGTCGAATGAGTAAATTGGAACAATAAACAGCACTCTTACAATCCATCTCTGCTCATTAGGACAAGTGTAATACCGAAGATGTAAGTAGATCTGAAATTTAAAAATTTCATATTGACTGACTTGTGCTACCTACCGACTGAGAGTGTACTATAAGTCAATTTCGTGACAGTTTTTACTCTGTGAACATAGTTAATATTTATTTATTTTTTATATAATATAGATAATTATATAGATATTATATTATATAAACAGATAAATTATGTAAGTTTCAATTCAAGTTTTAAAAAAATGAAAAATAGAAATAAAATGCTATTTGAAACTGAGTCTTTTTCCATTTATCACAGAAATCAGAGAATAAAAATGGATTTGCTTTTACAAAAGTACAGTGTTTCCTTTCACTAACAGATCATAAACAGATACGAATAATGTAAATGCAAAGTTGTAACCTGATGAACAGTGATTAAAATTGCTGCAAATGCAAATGTTCCAGCAATGCCTTGAGCTGCTGCTGTCTGCAAGAAAATGAGTGGCTGGGTTATGTTGTAGTCAGGAGTACTGTTCGTTTCAGAGGCTGTAGAGATGATCGTAGAAACAATTGTAGATGTAGAGGTGGTGATAGAGATTGTTGTTGTCTCCTCTGGAGTTATTAGTTTCTCTGCCATTGCTGGTTTTTATAAAACCAACAAGCAACTAAATGAATTCATCCAAAACCTGCTGAATTAAAAAGGTGTTTAAAAATATGAAAGAATAGAATGTTAGATATGATGGCAGATAAGTAAAAATTTTACTAGCAGGACTAGAAAAGTAAACAGTCAATTAGAGCAGTGACAGAAGAATATTAAAAAGACCTGACTGGGAAGAGTGAAAAAAAAACCTCCTAGCCTCACTTAATCAAAATCTAATAATTATTTTGTGAAACTACAAAAAAATGAATGATTTTCCATTTTGTGCCAGAGAAATTTGCAATCTTTTAAAATTTAGGCCCTATAACTATAATAAGAAATACCTACAGGTCTTTTACAAAATAGGCCCTAATCTTAATTACAGTTTGAACATGCAATTTGAAATAAAATTCTGAATTTGATGTAGGCCTATGACCTAAACAAAGTCACTAAAGTGTCCTAAAGCATAGCCTGATAATAAAATACTAAAAATACTATAGCCTACTTGATTTTATACTACTTCTGACAATTATGATACAATAATAATAGGCTAATAATATTAATAATAACCTACACTAAAGATTAAACTTCACTTGACTTAAAGATTGATAAAGTTATTTAAGTAAATTAAATAGTAGCACTACTACTACTGATACTCAGACTATAACTAATTATTAACTACCACTCAATAACAGGACTTCTTATTACTATTAGTCTATGACATGTTAATTAAATGTTAGCAGTGTCGAAAGAACTGTTATAAAACGAACTGAAACCTGCCCAACCCCATTCAGATCAGCAGATCCATTCAATGGCAATGACTCAGTCACCAGTGGTCTGTCATGTCTATGGCACAACTCAAAGTTACTTTTCGTTGTGTCTGTGTTGCTATTTTTAAGTTTTTATTTTTATACTTAAAGCCAAAAATTAACTAATCAAGTTACTTATTAATTAGAATCCTACTAAAATATGTAACAGGATATAGATCTAGACCTATACATCACTGGGGAATGTTACCAAATATAGCGTAGTTGATAAATTAACAATCTGTTACTAAATTTAAGAGAAATATCAACATACTTTTCATAATGCTAAGGAAATAATAATAATATGGCGAATACGGAAGTGACGCGCGTAAGCAAATCGTAAGTAGGGTATCAAAAAAGTAATTTTAACCTATTCCTAAAACAAATCTGCATTAGAAGTATTCTAAAAATAATTTAACTCTATCATTGAACGTCTTTTAAGTGTTTATTTTATAAATAAATTTTGTTCTCTTTAAATAATGATGAAAATAGCTCAGTTTTAAGTCCAAGTACGGTTTTAAATCGTTATTTATTCTGATAATTTTGTGTGTAACTTTCATTTTGTTTACATTGCGAAAATAATATTATCCAATGAAATAGAGGCGAATTGTAAGTGCAGGACTAAATTTTATATGGCAACAACAAAACAATAACAATATGGAGGCATTCTAAATAGTTAATAGTAGATATGAGCATTTAAATTGTAATTATATAAAGGCGTTTTTATTTGCTTTAGAAAATGGATTTTCTGGGATCACTGTTTTCAAGAAAACCCAAAAATGCACAAAAAGAAAGTGAATCAAATGACACTAGGTAAACAGTAACAATTAGATCTAGATTCTACCTTCAAATTAAAAAATAAAAATTATAAAATTAAAAATAGTAAAATAATCTAGAATCTAAGATCAGATCAGATCTAGTAATAAAAATAAAATTAAACAAAACTTGTGACTTGTTTATGTATTGGAAAATTGGCCATTAATTTATATTTTAATTAAAATTTTTGATTTAGGCCTAACATTCTATAGTATAGGGCAGGCATAGGGCATTGACCTAGAATCTAGGATTCTATGTACATTTTTAAAATTACTCTTACTAGGCCTAATTGAATTCGTATTAGTTTCAGGAATCTAATAAGACACATTTAGTAATCCCCCATCCTAAAATATATTGGATGAAAATGAAAGTTATGATTTCTTAGTGCCCCTGTTTCTTTTGTGGCTGTCACATTTGAGACAAAAAATAAATATTTGTATATTCTGATGGGTGGGCAATATAATAAGCCTCATGGTTTTTTTATTTTCTGTAAAGTTAAGTTCAACCTGATTGTGACTACAACCAAGGAGACCAATATATTATCATTTGTGTTTTTTCTTAAATCTATTATCCAAAACCAAATACACATATAATAGTGTAGGGGGAGCTTTTAATGAGAGGTGGCGATCTTATTCTCTCATCTGTTCATCCTCGTTGGGACAAGGAGGTTTACCGAACCCGAGGAAATCAATTACACACTTAAACACAACATTAATTTTAAACTAAAAGTAAAACCACAGCTCAATACATTGGTTTACATACAACAGACGATACAATAGGTTTACAGGGTTACAATATCAGAACGTATAACAATGACAGGAACGAGCAACAGAACAGCTTCTCGCTGACAGCCTCAGGCTGGTATCACAATAGGTACTGGACCACATCTTGCCAACTGTTAAAGCGGTAACATCTCTCTGATAGTTAGGAGACAGCTTCTCCACCTTCACGATAGGAACTGGTCAGCATCTCACAGGACAGGTACAGGTTGACACCACAATGATAGGTACTGCATAGCATCTTGCTGACAGGTACAGTGACAGCCTCTCTCCAACAATTACATGGCAGCTTAGACAACAGGAACTTTACAGCATATCACAGGTTGACATCTCAATGACAGATACCAGACAGCATCTCACAAGACAGCATAACATCAGGCCATTTGCCCATGACTGCAGCTTGGCCAACAACACCAGCTCGCCTTTGTGACCAGTTTTAACACTCTAAAGCATGTCTTCTTCATCCCAAGCCTAGCTCTCTCCTAGAGATAACCTCCTTTTCATCACCAAGTTTGTGACCTAGGGTAAACAGAAAAAGAGGGGGGGGGGGAGCACAATGCATTCATTCCGTGTTGCATCTGACTTGCTAATTAGACCAGGCTGGAGGAAGGGGGAGGGTCATTAAATGGGGTACCAGCCAACAATAGGAATCACCAATTTTTTAATTCAAGGTTTATGTTTAGGGTCAAATTTGGTGAGGAATTCCTCAGATTTTAGTAAATGAAAATGTACTGCTTAGTAAGTAAATGATACATTAATATCTGCATTTAAGTAATACAATATGTGATTGAAGGAAAAATGTATCCTGTATTATATTTTAATGTTCTGTTATAATTATATTTTGAGCAGAGATGAAAAGGAAGTAGTTGAAAAGAATGATAAACCTAAAAGGGAAGAGAAGTCATCATCAAGAGAAAGTATCATACAGCAGAATGATGATAGTAATGATGATAACAATGAAGTTGATGAAGACTTTGAAGCAGAAGTGGATGACCTCATTGAGTATGTTGTAACAAGCTTAAAAAAAGTGAAAAAATATTGAATTTACAGATTTCTTAACTCTATATCCTCTTTTTATTAAGTTTGTGTTAAGCTTTCATGTATAATTTATTTAAAATATTACTTTACTGACTTTTATGATAAAATGCTGAAACATTGTGGTCCTTATTTTAAAATCTCAAGGTTGAAGAATTCCTGGTAGGTTTTGTATCTCCAGGATTTAAACATAAATTTCAGTTGGAGATAATCTCTGTTACACATTTACATCATCCCGCTGACACTTTTATTTTACTGTTTTATTAAAAACAGAGATAGCGATGAAGAGGATGAATCAATTTCAAGTGAAGATGAAAGACCTGAATGGAATCAACCCAAAATAAGAGGGGCAAGACCACCTCATCCATTGACTGTTACACATGTCAATCAGACTTCAGATTTGCAGGTTTGCATCGTTATGTTTAGGAAGTATTCCTTCAACAGTGCCTAGTTTTCTTATTTAGTAAATACATTAAACTGAAAGTACATTTTCAGAATATGTTTTTTAATGACTGCCAATTTTGCATTCGCTTATTGCATTTTAAAACTTTAACAAATTTTATGTAAAATCGTAAACAATGTCACAGCTTACTATTATAATATAATTTGTTTTTCATTAAAATATATTTTTATATTGTTGTTAACATGGCTGGTTATAAGTAATAACATTTGATTTTGTGTCTCTATTTTTTTTCTCCAGAGATTAAAAAATATAGCAACAACAGGTGATGCAGAGAAGCAGAGTTCTGAGGAATGGCTTATCTCCCATAGCATCTCACATTTAAAAATTAGTTTAAAAGATTTAGTGGATAAAGGAAAAATTGGACGGTAAGAGAGAAATATTTAAGAACATAGTTTGTCAAATATGATTTAACAACTTTTTTTTAATGTTTAATAAAAAAGAGCTTATGTAGGTCTACTTTGTATTCTCTATAAATTGAAAAGTTCTCTAAAAAAATGTCATTGTGAATATAAGCAACAGTTTAAATATTTGTTTTAGCCTTCATCCTGATCAGCAGACTGGCAAAGTTACACACCACATTCAGTTTGATGCTTATGATGTTAATGAATTTGAATATAAACTAAACCTGTAAGTTATTTCTATCAAGCCAACATCATAATTAAATTTTTTTAAATTCTTTTATTGTTATTAATGTAACGAAAATAAGTAAAAACCATTTTACTAAGTCGAATATAGATGTATACATGGTGATATATAACTAGCATAAAAATAGGGCTAACTTGAATAAAAAATTTCTTGCATTGAATTGGCTTTATTTTGACTCTCAATGCTTTTTGCTGTTTCCAGTGTGTAAAAAAATAATTACTGATAAAAATTCAACATTCTTTCATTGATGTGTTTTTATTTTTATAAATACATATTTCTTAATTGTGAATTAAAGGGCAATAGAAATGTATACAAACAGAATCAAATGGTTGTTGCAAGGAAGTAAAAGGGTAAGCGTTTTGTTCCCTACCTTCAGATGAATCTACAATGTAATCTCAATTTTTTAAAGTGTGAAATCTAAATGAGAACATTTCTTGAAATTCTATTTTTATAAAACATTCTGTGGATAGAGACATTATATAATTATTTGATCATTTTAACCAATTAAAAATAAAATAAAAATTGAATCCTTACATTTATTATTTCTGTTAAAATTATAAAATGCAGTTTTGCTTCTATATTTAACCTATATTTTTATGTAGATGTTTGGTAATGTAATGGGTAAAAGAGTGGCCTTATGTGTGGATACATCAGATGCCAATTTGGGATTTGGGAGGCAAACAGCTTTTCAAGAGTCTCTTCTTGTAAGATGTATTTGTTTTTCTGTATGATTTCAAACCAGTTTTTAAATAACTCCTAAGATAAAAGAAAGGTTACAGCCTTGATGATTCTTGAAAATTATATTTGAAGTACATGTTTCATTAAACATTATTTATTTTATTTACAGCACTTAATAGATGAGCAGCTGTCCAATCGAGGAGGTATTTACTTGGCCAACTTTGGAACGGAAGTTGAATCCTTGTGGCCTGTGGTTAGAGATGTTAATTTTTATATGTAAGTCAATAGTTTTAAGGACACATACATAGTTCACAGGCTGTTTTGTTTTGTTTTGCCCAAGTCAAGAAATAAACAATTGATTCCCAGGAGCTGAGTAGAAATTTTAATATTTCATCAATTAATAATAGGAGTAATTCAGAAGTGGGTGTACTGTTTTTATTACTTAAACCTAGATATATTTTAAATTCCGTTTGAAAAATGTTACATTCAGTGTGGAAGAGGCCAAAGACTGGACCATGAAACTCCACAGCTCAGGTGGCACAAATCTCCTGAAGGCCATGAAACATGTGATGAAGATACCAGCTCTTGATTCTATTGTTTTAGTGTTAGGAAGTGTGTAAGTATACTCTTTGCATTTTTATTGTATTGGAGTTATGTAAGTAAAATACACTTTGTTATTTTTAAAAAAATGTTTGAGTTTGAGTATTTTAATTTCATGAATCGTTTGTTTAAAAGTTGTCAGTACCATTTCACTCTAGGTTCTATATCTCATTGTTTTACTTATGACTGTAGTAATGTACATATTTAATTATCCTACTTTGGTACTTGGGTTTAAATTTCTACCTGTGAGTTTGACGATTACAATGAAAGAAATGATTGTGTTATGCTCATAATTTGTTTACTGCCAGGTTTGAAATAACCTGTTAAAAATGTAGCTTTGTAACTTCTACAAATATATTTTGTGATTTGAAAATGACAATTTTAAACTTTCAGCCCCGATCAACCATCTGATATACTGTGTGACTTTATATATCAGATGGGAGTTGGAAAGGGAATAGTTCTCCACACAGTGGCATATGATTGTAGCAACAGTCAAACTAATGTAAGCAGTAATTTTAGCTTTTTTTTGTGTTGTTTTGGTAGATCTTTTACCAGATAAACAGTGTTAATATTTGTTAAAACTTTTGTTTTGCAGGTTACCTTGAAAAAATTAGCAGAATCTTCAGGTGGCAGATATCATTGCTATGCTGCTAGTTCTGAGGTTAGTAGGCTTTATGATGTACACAAGTTGTTGTTTTTATTAAATAATAGTTAGGCTTTTTCTTCGTGTATAATGAAAAGAAAATAATGCTTACAATATTATATCACAATCTCCTAAAACTTCTAAAATTGAATTTTTAGGTATTATTTCTTAGAAATTAACTTTTAGATTTCTGTTGAAAAAAGTTTAAAAAAATATTAAATACAATTTGTGTCAAATGTTTCAGGAACAAATCTACACCAGTACAGATATTAGTCTGCTGCTGGCTGAGATAAGAGAAGCCCAGGAAATTATCAATAAGATAAAAGAAATGAGACAGGGAATGATGGGAAGTGCTATTATTAGCATAATGAATGAGGTTTGTTTTATATAGTTTAAAGTATTTTTTTGTAACTGACTAAAATCCCACACAAAAAACATAAATATTGAAACTGAAATACCTACTGGTTGTTTCCAGATAACAACTGAGGTGGCCAAACTCCCACACTCACGCTTCCTGCCTCGGCCACCAGGCCATGACCTTCCTCTCAGGCTGGATGTGCCAAATTTTCACCCCAGAACTTCTCAGGAATGGCTGAATCAACATGGTCTCAAAGGTAAAGCCATAAGTTTAGCTTGTGTTGGTTATAGAATACCTTCTATACTCTAAATATGACAGGTTAAAAATGTATTTGTATGATTTTGTGTAATAACCTTTCATTGCATTCCAAAAATTCTATAGCCTATACATTTCTCTTTCATCACACCACTAAAACAGCATTAGCTTTGGTTAATAGTATCTATGGATGTAATATTGCTTTAAAACAAAGAATTGAAAACAGAGTCATTTAACATGTTTTGTTTCAGTAAAACTAAATCAAACATTATTTTCATTGTTAATAAGAATTCCAGATCTTCAACATACTTGAAACCAAATTGATATCATTTGAAAATTTTTAAAAATTAAGAAAAATTAGCTGAGATTTTTACTATTTGTCTACAGCAAGAAAGCTGGACCTTTATCAAATTCTAGCTCCTAATGCTTACTCCTACAGAGAAGAGTTTATTCCAGTGATTAAAAAAGCTGTACAATCACAAGTACATGAGGTATAAGAAGATATTCTAATATTTTATGTAGAAATGACACATCCTTATTCAGTCCTTAGACAATTTTATAAATAGTGATAAACCATTATGATAATTAACTTTGATTAAGCATATTTTCTTGTAATTCATCTTCTTAACCCTTTTACCATGTGTAATAAATATTAAGGCCTCAAAGACAAATTTGTACTATTGAATTAAATACAAAGTAAATACTGTATTAGAAGTCTAGTGTTATACTCAAACAATATATTCTGTTATTTAGAAAAGTATTACATAAACAAGCAATTTAAATATTTTAATGAAATATTACACAGAACAATCTAGTGTTATACTTCACATTTTCTACTGCTAATTAGAAAAAATAATACCAGCATGCATTTAAAATGTATTTGATGAAATATCAAACAGAAAGCCATGGTCCAGTTTACTTGGCATGACGGGTCACTAAAGAATCTTCACGTAGACATGACTCAGTTGTTTGAGTATCAGAAGCAGCTCAGTGAAGCTGTGACCCTGTATGAGAAGAGAATTGACTGGCTGGCTTCTGGCAGTCGCAGGCTCTTTGGGTCAGTCTCTGAGCACAAGTAAGTACCCAGTCTGGCACAAATTTTATTTTTTTAAGTGGCATCATCATCATCTTTTCCTGTTTGTGCCCAAGACACATGGGGCAGATGAAGTAGAGTTCATCTGTTTCAATGACCTCTGCATGCAAACGGATAGTGTGGTCAGCACTAGCCCAGCCACCTTAGTTTCCCTAATGTGGCATCATGCATCTAGTAATCTCACTTATAAAATTAAAAAAAAATTATTTTAATAATTATTATTTTAACCCTGTAGATTTAATTTGATGCATAAAATTCGAAAAACATATACAATAGAAGTGTTAAGAGTAAAAGGAGGAATTTCTTTCTTTCTCCAACAGCGTTGTTATCCTTGTTGACACCTCAGTGAGTAACCTCAATTATCTGATTCACATTCAACATTCACTTCGTCTGTTGATGGAGGAGCAGATCGCCAACAAAGATTACTTTAACATAATTGCGTAAGTAAAACAAAAATCAGAATCTTGCAATCATTTATGATGCACCTATGAATAAATATAATTGCCTGTTTTAACATTTTTTTGTGTGTACAAATGGATCAGATATATATACGAACCTTTTAAAAAAATATTTTCTGTTTTATAGATTTGGCAGTAAGACCAGGGCTTGGATGCCAACTATGGTTCGACCTACAGCAGAAAATTTACAAAAAGCTTGGAAGTAAGGAAGAAATAGACATAATTATTTCATATTACTATTGATGTTTGTTTTTGTGCTAATTGTTTATAGTTATAATGTGTCACCAGTATTATTTATTGAAAGAAGCCACTTATTTTTCAAATATTTAATTATGTGTTGAAGCTCAATATAAGTATAATTAAAATGTTATGAATAGAATAAAGCCCTGATAGATATATATCAAGTTTACTCTAAGCCTTCAAACCTGTGTCCAATAGGTGGGTGCTTGAATTACAATGTGGAGGCAGTCGCAACTTTCTGTCTGCGTACAGAACAGCTGTAGAGAACGATGAGGAGATCAAACATAACATTTGTAAGTTTTTAAACACATTCACAAAACATATGCTCAGTAGCCATCTTCTGGGTTTTCATAGCCCATAGTCCCATTTAACTGTAATTTGATACATAGAGTAAAAAACAGAATGGTAATGCTGTTGGTTAGATGGTGTGTAAGAATTATGTGTAATGTTAAATGAGAACTTTTAAAAGTGAGTGCCTAATTTTTTTATTTGTCAAAATGCCATAATGAGAAACTGCAAAAAGGCATGTGGAAGATGTTTAGGATATTGATATTGGTGTTATCATTATTTCTAATTATTTACCTATGTATATAGCTGAAAATATGAAAATTTGAGTTCTATGAAAAAATCTAATAAGGGTAACACCTTTTAGTAAGAAAATGTTTCTCAGATTCACCTTTCAGTCTGGCATAAATTGGCCCTAGCTCAGACTATTGTCCCCATAAAAATGTGCACACATCTAAATAGAGCTTACAGATCAGCAAAATTACTTTTAAGTGCAAATTTACCAAACAATAATAAGTTTTTACATTTTAAATCTCACACAAATAATCTGATTTTATAAATTAATGTTATACATGTTTATACATTTGGTTGTGTTTTTTTTCAGTTGTGCAAGGATTTTATTTGTTTTTTTTTTCAGTTGTGCAAGGAGTTTATTTATTTTTTTCAGTTGTGCAAGGAGTTTATTTATTTTTTTCAGTTGTGCAAGGAATTTATTTATTTTTTTCAGTTGTGCAAGGAGTTTATTTGTTTTATTTTTTTCAGTCGTGCAAGGAGTTTATTTGTTTATTTCAGTCGTGCAAGGAGTTTATTTGTTTATATTTTCAGTTGTGCAAGGAGTTTACTTGTTTATTTTTTTCAGTTGTGCAAGGATTTTATTTGTTTATTTTTTTCAGTTGTGCAAGGAGTTTACTTGTTTATTTTTTTCAGTTGTGCAAGGAGTTTACTTGTTCACCAGTGGCATCCCTGACCAGGTGCCTGAGGTTGTCACAAGCTACATAGAAGAGGCCAGCTCTGGGAGGAAAGTCAAGCTGCACACCATTCTGTTCAATGTGGATGACTATGATGCTAATGGGGCAATCCCTGGTCGCTATGCCAACATCACCCGCACAGCTGAATGCCTGAGGAATATGGCCCATATCAGTGGAGGAAGATTTCATTGGTTCAGAGAGACTGGTATGTCTAACAGACAAATTGCATGATTAAAATGTAGTTCTATTTTTTGTTATTCCAAAAATATTGAAATAATTAAATCTTTTTTGTCTGTACCCCACATTACTTATGCTATCACTCTAAAAATAAATGTGTGTATGACCAGTGCTATTGCTTACTTTTATACACGTTTCCCTCACACTTAAACACAACAATATGAGTTTCCATTTCCTGCCTAGAGCCAGCACTGGGTAGTATTTTCAAAATTATGTTTACAATATTTGAGAGGTCACTTTGCTTACTAATTTATTGTTTTGAAATTAAAAGTTACAATTTTTTAAAAATCAGAGATAAAGAAAAATCCATTCCATTTATTCCATTTCACTCCATAGGCATCATAGAAAATGATGACATACAAGCTATAAACTCAGAGATAGACAAGGCTCTGAATTTCTCCCGCAAATGTGCAATGTTAGTTCAGTCAGTCAAGAAAAAGTACAGAAACAGATATGTCAGTTTGAATATTGTAGACTGTTTTTTAGTTATGTCTTGAAATACTTAATAATTCAGTTTATGTGATTGTATGATACAGTATTGCTAGTCCACATTGTTATATTCAGCCTATAATATTCAAATGTATTTCAACTTCTAGAAATTACTATTTGTTACATACATAAAAGTTTGAATATTTACACATTTTTTTTTACCCTTTGCAGCAAGGTCAGCCTGACATGAAAGCCATTCAAAGCAAATCCTCCCAGAGACACATGCACTGCATACCCCAACCAGAAACACCAGCACCATTCATGGCACTACCAGCCCCATCACCACCAACAGTGGCACCAACAAAATATATTTCTTATGGTAGTTCCAGTCAGCAGGTTTGGCACATGTTTGTCTCTTGGTTTTTTATCTTCTATTGTTGTGACAATTAGTTTTTATCAAACTAATTCACCTTTTTTTAATCTCACAGGCTGGAGATTCACCAGACAAAGTTACACACAGGGCCATTTCTTACAGACCTTCTAGTGCTTGTAATAATGTCAACCCTAAAGAAGGAAAATGTAAGACAAGATTTTGAAACCAAATCTTTTTAAAGTTTTAAATAGTTGTAATTTATATGCAAGGTGATGCTAACAATTCAGCATTCATAACACATTTTATACTAATGTTTGACTCGAATTTTTAGTTTTATTTAATTAAGTCAGTCATTAATTATTATAATGACCACAGCAATCAGTTTACACCAAAGACCATCCTCTGCAAGAGATCCCATGCTGAGAGTTAGAAACTTACAGCGAGGTCAAATGTCAACTCAGCACTTCTTTTTGGAAAATAAAAAACATGACACAGGTATAAAACACTGAGATTGATTATAAATTTTTTTTTTGTACATCTTAAAATAATTAAATATGGAGCTCGGTTAAGAAATGTAATGTTATATAGACTCAACACATTCAGCTATGTGAACCCAGTAAAAACTGATCTTAAAATATCTGCAGGGGCTGTGATAAACAAATATTCTCTGCAAAAATCTGTCAGAAAAAAAATTCCCCACCTGACTTTACCAGAACAAGAGGATTCCATCACAACAAAGGAGGTGAGTTTGTTTTATTTCTCTTAAATCTTTGATTGTTAAAATAGGACATTATTTGTAATTATCAGCTATTTTTAAGCTTGAAACTCTGTGATTTTAAAAAATTGTCTCCCTTCTAGTGGCTTCGTGTGTTTAGTCTGAACAAACTGAAACTTGACCTAAATAAAATGGTGTCAGGACCAGATTGTAAACATGAAGAGAAAAATGTCAAAATTCTAAACAAAGCTATAGCAGCCAAAGTGTAAGTAATGCAAGTGGTCAATTATTTTAACATGTGAATGTTCTAGGTGAAAATAATCCACTGTTTCAGTTAACTGTTTAATCAGGACATGAAGTGAACTATCAGTATAGATTTATTTGTTTCTTTTAATATATATAAAATTTGTGAAATGCAAGTAAAATTTATTATTTGTTGTCATTGGTTACATATGTTTAAAAAGACTAAGTTATCATTCTGGCCTATGCCTTAATGCAGCAGCCCTTCTTTATGGGATATGTAAAAACAGCTGAACACCACACGTTTCTGTTGGCCACACAACCCAGAATATTGGCCATAAGAAACCTATGAACTCATCAGAATGTAAACCATCACTTGTTAACTAAAGCGCTCCTAAATTTTGTTTTACCTGTTACAGATACCCTGATGTCTTTCCAACTGTAAATGTGAAGGGAACAATGAAGTACATGCAGCTCTTACCCCATGAGTTAGATGAATATGAGACACAACTAGAGAAAGTTTTAAGGCGCTATTTAAAGAGACTTCAGTGGCTCCTAAGTGGTACAACAATTTTTAGCATGATTTTTGTATCTTAAATATGTTGATTGATCTAAATCTAAATTGATTTAAAAAGATCTCAAACATTATTAATAACCATAAGACTAATTAATCTGGTGCTAATGTAAGGTTAAACTTAAAAGAGTAGATTCACAACAATTCTCTCATATTAATAATACAACACATAATTCATGTAAAGGAATAACGTTTAGACTACTCTATTTATAGGAAGTCGTAGGGTGTTTGGCACAATAGTTCACAAGCATGTGGCATTTTTAATAGACACATCCGGTTCTATGGAGCCAAAGATTGGGGAACTAAAAAAAGAACTGGCTACTCTAGTGTGGGACCAGCTACATAAACTTGATGTTTCGTAAGTCTTTCATTTTAAAAATCTTAAAACAATATAAAATTTATTATTTTCAGATAATTTTTTTGGTCTAAATTCTATATAAATCAGCTTTAATCTGACTGGAATTTTTTTTATATTTTTCAAGGTTCAACTTAATCAGTTTCTCCAGTAAATGTTTAGTTTGGAGAGATGCTGTTCAGAAACCTACAGAAAAGAACTGCCATGACGCCATTAGATGGGTGTCAGAGCTTTTACCCAATGGCAACACCTGTACATTAGAAGCTTTACAAGTAAATCTATTTGTTGTGTCATTCATTTTGTTTACATTATGATCTTCTATTTATTTCACCAACAGTCCCAACCTTGATGTAGATTCTCTTCATTGATACAATTTGCTAGAATGTAGTATAAAATAACTTGTTGTCTATATTTGATATCAGTGAATCTTAAAATGGGTGTAAATGCATCATTGATCTAGTAGTAGTTAATAGGCGTGGCTGTCTCAGTTTAAAATCTGTTTAACAATTAGAAGCATTTACAGACATAGCTAGAGTCTGTGGGGATTCATTATGTCCTCCAAAATATGATGGGTACCTGAATAAGCTGGAGAAGATAAATGTGACTTGCACTGGCCATGTAATTCCATGTATATGCCAAGATTTTGTCACAGAAACAGATGAACTCTACTTTAATTGACCTATTGATCACTATAGGTCTTATTGGGTTGTTAAATGTTATTTTTTTCTGTTTTACCAAAACAAAAAACAACCCAGAAAGTTGAATACAGCACTTTTACTTTGATATTTATTATCTTACTTGTATATTGTTTTTAACGTTGTAAGAAAATTTCATTTTTTTTTTATGACAGCTTGCATTCCGTGACCCTGACATCGATGCTATTTATATACTGACGGATGGCAAACCAGACACAAGCACATCCCTGGTCTTGAGAGAAGTGGCAAAGATGAATGAGAAAAGGAATTTAACTGTCAATACAATATCTTTCAACTGCACTGACAGGTTGGTGTCCTGAACTCTAGCCCCTATTTTAATTTATGAATTCAACAACTTTCTATATAATTTTACTTTATAATTTTGTAAAAAAAAACATTGAAAATATATATGTTTGAAGAAAAAGATAAAGGTTTGCTGTAGATATTTTTAAGCCATTATATTTATTCAATGTTTTTATAAAATAGCACAGCAAACAACTTCATGAGGCTGCTAGCCACTGAGACTGGAGGAAGGTATCATCGCATCCATGAAGATTTTGATGCTCAACTTTTTATCCATAAACTTCTGTCTGAAGGTTTTGATGACTGTGAGGTGAGTTGTATAATTTAAAAAATGATAACCTACACCATTTTAAAATTATTTTTGAAGGTTTGAACCTATTTTACTGTAATAATTTTTAAGCTGGCAGTGAATATGTATGGTTTTTAGAAATGGGGTGTAGTCCCAAAAATTGTGTTTAATGGTTGATTTTGTAAAAATTGCATAAAAATATTTTCAGTACCCTCACTTGCCAACATTTGAAGGAGACGATCTAAGGAAGTTGGGGGCAGAAATATCACAAGCTCGCAAATATTTGCAGCAAGCAAGAGTTTACAAGTCTGTATTTTTTAATAATGTTCGGCACACATAAAATAACTACATGTAAAATCTAGAATTTTTACCTAGTTTAATTTTTCAAGAACTTTTTACTTTTACTTGTGTTATGTTAACTTTCAACTAATCTCTCATCCCATTTTTAACCATTTAAATCTCCTTATTTTCAATCTTATTTAGGGTTTATAAAAATTAGCGCTTATATTTTCATCAATTGAAATGATAAAATATGTTAACTATCTTCTTACAAAAGATGAATAGTGTTAACTTTCTACTAAAGATTGTAAACATGTTAACTTTCTCTCTACCAGAGCACTGTACAAGGCTAAAGCCACTCAGGGGGCAGAGAAGGCAAACACCATCAAACCTGGTAGGTTCAAGTAATCTTAGAACTGTATCTGTGTTATCTGTCACACATCAGTGGGATCATACAACTATATCTGTGTTATCTGTCACACATCAGTGGGATCATACAACTGTATCTGTGTTATCTGTCACACATCAGTGGGATCATACAACTGTATCTGTGTTATCTGTCACACATCAGTGGGATCATACAACTATATCTGTGTTATCTGTCACACACCAGTGGGATCATACAACTGTATCTGTGTTATCTGTCACACATCAGTGGGATCATACAACTGTATCTGTGTTATCTGTCACACATCAGTGGGATCATACAACTGTATCTATGTTATCTCTCACACACCAGTGGGATCATACAACTATATCTTTGTTATCTCTCACACATCAGTGGGATCATACAACTATATCTGTGTTATCTGTCACACATCAGTGGGATCATACAACTATATCTGTGTTATCTGTCACACATCAGTGGGATCATACAACTATATCTGTGTTATCTGTCACACACCAGTGGGATCATACAACTATATCTGTGTTATCTGTCACACATCAGTGGGATCATACAACTATATCTGTGTTATCTGTCACACATCAGTGGGATCATACAACTGTATCTGTGTTATCTGTCACACACCAGTGGGATCATACAACTGTATCTGTGTTATCTGTCACACATCAGTGGGATCATACAACTGTATCTGTGTTATCTCTCACACATCAGTGGGATCATACAACTGTATCTGTGTTATCTGTCACACATCAGTGGGATCATACAACTGTATCTGTGTTATCTGTCAACCATCAGTGGGATCATACAACTGTATCTGTGTTATCTGTCACACATTAGTGGGATCATACAACTGTATCTATGTTATCTCTCACACATCAGTGGGATCATACAACTATATCTTTGTTATCTCTCACACATCAGTGGGATCATACAACTGTATCTATGTTATCTGTCACACATTAGTGGGATCATACAACTATATCTTTGTTATCTCTCACACATCAGTGGGATCATACAACTGTATCTGTGTTATCTGTCACACATCAGTGGGATCATACAACTGTATCTGTGTTATCTGTCACACATCAGTGGGATCATACAACTGTATCTGTGTTATCTGTCACACATCAGTGGGATCATACAACTGTATCTGTGTTATCTCTCACACATCAGTGGGATCATACAACTATATCTGTGTTATCTGTCACACACCAGTGGGATCATACAACTGTATCTGTGTTATCTGTCACACATCAGTGGGATCATACAACTGTATCTGTGTTATCTGTCACACACCAGTGGGATCATACAACTGTATCTGTGTTATCTGTCACACATCAGTGGGATCATACAACTGTATCTGTGTTATCTCTCACACATCAGTGGGATCATACAACTGTATCTGTGTTATCTGTCACACACCAGTGGGATCATACAACTGTATCTGTGTTATCTGTCACACATCAGTGGGATCATACAACTGTATCTGTGTTATCTGTCACACACCAGTGGGATCATACAACTACGTCAGTGTTAGTTGTCTGTCACACATCAGTTTGTTGTATCCTAATATTTGATTGTGGTACAATTTCTTTATTGTATGGTAAACATTAGTTGTAAGTTTAATCTAGTTTATTGTATAGTGCACACTAGTTTTGCTGTATGCTACACACTTGCTAGCTTTTATAATAAAAGTATAAGCTGAGTCTTACAAATTAGTTTTTTGTTACACATTACCTAGTTGTTATATGTTAGTTAATCATATAACAAATATCTGCAATAACTAAAAAAAGATGACATACAAAGACAATGTTGTTATTTTCAGGGCCAGCACCATTTCTAGTGGGCAAGCCAAGAGTGATTCCAGCTTTAAAATGTTAGCCTATGCTTCTGTACATGCTCAATGTTTCACATGTTATTTATTTTTTGTAGGATTTGATGTTAGATTTTTAAAGCCAAATTATTAAAAAAAAAACAGAATTGTATAAGTGAATGTAAAATGTTTTTAAAGTGCACTAATATACTGCTCAGGCAGAACTTCGTTAATTTCTGGATACAATTCTTATTATCCTTTGTTGAGTTCATGTAGGCCTAATGTTTGTATGTAAAAAAATCATTTTACCATAGTGCACAACAAAAACACACCTAGTAGTGTCTGATTGGAGAAATAAAAAAAAAAATAGTCTAATTATCATTCCTTCAGAGGTTTAGATTTAAGCCTATAGACAAATAGTGGGGCAGTGAGACATTTCTGCAGCCTTATTTTTAACTCTATTGGTTTTAGGTTGTGATACATGAGAAAAAATAGGTGGATTGTACCACCTGAATTTTTATGGCCCTTCTAAGAAATGGTCTTTTCCATTAGTGGTTTTACCCTTTTGACATGAAATAATTTTCTTTGACAAATCTTACATTATTACTGCAGTTATGTAGATAGCATTTTAACTTAATTTCTCAAGTAATGCCAAGTGTGGTGGCATAGCTTGTAGGTGCAGGGTCACCTACAAGCTATGCCACCACACCAAGTGCCAATATTTACTGTTGTTACTGTACAATGCAAATTTTATGTTATTTATAATACCTGTTATTTAACTTCAATGTCAATTTATGCTAGATTTTTACACATTTTAAAATAATATATTCTTTTAGTAATGTATGTTTTTAAACAATTATATAAAAAACAAAAAAACTATAAAATCATTACTCTGCACAGCTGTTAAGCATATGAATGACAATTTTAACAATTATTTTAAAGTATTTTCATGTTGTGTTTGTCTCTATGTTAATACTTGTTTTTTTTTACAAGTGATACAATTTACCATTGGTGTAGACTACATAGTGGTTAACACAATCTGATCCATTGGTCAGTTTCTTATTAGTGTATTTTTTAATGGAAGATCTCATTCTAATCTTGGTGGATTCTAAGTTAAACAAAGAAAATTATATAACACAATAATGTTTTTATGAATGTTTTTGTCTGAAAGAATCAATAGGCCTACATTTTTCTTCAAACATAAAAAAAGCTCTAAATCAAAATGTTTTTTGTTGTTTATTAAATGAGTAAAATAATGATTGAACTTACTATAATATTGATATAGGAAAAGATTTTATGCTATAACTAAGCAACTCATAATAGACCCTATGTGTACCCAGCCTAGCAGTGAGCTGCTGAGCAAGCCTAACACAAGGTTACAGTCATGTAGACAGGAAAGTAAGATATTCTCCATACCCTGTATTGAAATAATTAGTTTTTTCAGTAAAAATACCATGTTGAGTGACTATCTTAATGTAAAATAGAAGCTTGGCACTGTTGTATGCAGCAGCAATCTGAACTACAGCTACACACTTTTAAAATTATTTGAGTAGCCTATTACTAGTATACCTTGTTACAACACTTTCTGTTTTATTATATTTTTGTTATGTTTATTTAAAAAAATATCTTTTTGGAAAGCCAAAAACAAAACAAAAAATAATATAAAAGTTGAAAAAAGTTTTTAATTATTAAAAAATTATTAAAACTGCCATATTTTATAATTTAATATTTCACAGAAAAACAAATTTTAAAATACATTTGAATATTGTTGTCAAAACAATCTGCATAGTAAAATTAATACAAATTAAAACCAGCATTCAAAAAATCATTCGGATCAAAAAACTCTGAACACAGTATTATACAACTGGAATTGTAAATATATTTCCAGAGCTTTGAGAAACTACTCTGTATCCAAATCACTCATACTCCCATCTTATTATAGCTTAACTGAGAATCTTAAATTGGCAGTTTGTGTTTAAAACATGCATTATTTAGCTTGAACAAAACATTTTTTCAATGGCCATTAACTTTTTGGCTGCTGAAACTCTGAGCAAACTGAATGAGCTCATCACAGTATTTAGTGTGCCGATGTTTGTGCTTGACGCTCTCAACTTCTTGAATTATCATATGTGGAGCAAGCTCTGCAGCTTTCTTTAACACTTCTGAAAATCAAAATTATCATGTTATTAAAGTTGTGAAACAGATCAACTCTACTTCACCTGACCTACATGTCTTGGGGCACAAAAGTAAAAAGATTAAAGTTGTGAGAAAGATTCCATTTTTTGTACAAGAAAAAATGTAGAGAAACTTACCCAGCACAGCCTCCTGTATTTTACTCTCTGGATCATCTAAATGAACCAACAAGCCACGATAGATTGCCTCTAAGTGGGCACGGTACAGGCTAACATCATAACCTCCTTCAAAGCAGTCAAAGTAGGCCAGCAGTGTGCGGGTTGTTGTCATTCTGATCTCATCACTGCTGTCATCTAGACGCTGTCAACACATAATGTATTCATGATTTATTTACCTAAACAATGCATTCATCCTGTATTCGGTTTTAAACTATATATTCGTCCTTTATGCAGTCTTCAAAAACATATTGTTCTTTATAGATTATACATTCAGTATTTATTCAACTTGGTATAATACATTAAATTTTTTTTAAAAATCTGAATTATTTTTAAGTTAAATTGATAAATTACATGCAATCAACATTATCAATAAAGCACAATATAATTATTAAATGATTTTAAATAGCTCTCTACTAAAAGACAAACCTTCAGCAGCTCAGGATACATATTATGCAGCCTGTCTTGACCTAGACTTGTCCCCATCAGGTCAAATGTGCGAGTCATCACACGACAGGCAACCAGCCTCGTGCTTTTGTTGTCATCTTCAATCAAGGAAATGAGTTGGGTCATGGCTGACTCTACTACAGGCTCCATCTAAAGAAAAAGATTTTTGTCATAAAATTTTACTTCGTGAGATATTAGTGGAAAGTTTGGGAACGTATAAGATGTGAAAGAAAAAAAAATTGATGTGAGAAAACTTTTGTCTGTAGTAATAAAAATCATTTCCCTCACCTTTTCTTTAGTCAAGATTCCACTCTGCAGCAAAGCCCAGAAACAGCTGACAGCTGTGGTACGGATGGCTCCTGCTGTCCGGCCAGCCTTCCAGACACAATTGGGAAGGATCATATCCCTGACAACTATGGTGGCAAAATCTGCAAATTTTTTCTCTGAGTCTAAAGTTGTTGGAGCTGCCAGTACTAGACGAGAGAGCAGAGAGAAAAACTTGAGCCTTAGCTCTGTGTCTTTCTCTGGTTGTAAGTTGGTGACTATGATGGGGATGATGTCATCAAGATGGCGGCCAACAACTGGACCTAAAATACACAACAAAAAACCCCATCATTTGAGAATAATGACGATGGTCATTAAAATAAATGAAAAAAAAAATACAATATGTTTCATCCAGATGCTTCAGATATCTAGTTGGAGAAATAACACACACATTTTGACACTGAGATTTTATGTATGTAGATACTAATTATTTGTAGTAACAGCAAAGGCTATAAAGAACAAAACATTACCAGCTTCAATAAGCAGAGCATCAAAAATCTGGCGTTCAATAGAATAGTTGGTCCACATATTTATACCATCACCAAATGAGTCAAGAAGTGGCTTGGTATGGTTCTCAAAAAGCTGTACTTTGCCAGTTAGGTTCTGTGCTGTGGCCAGCTGTTCTAAGCAAATATTGGCCTGTATTTGGAAAACATTAGTTTTTTATTTAACAAAAAATATAACCAAATAGGATCATCATACATATTCAAAAAGGGATGTTAAATAATATTAATATATCCTTCATAATTTAAAAAAAAAATCTTCATAAATTTAGAATTAAGTTATGTGAAGTAAGCTTTAAAAAGGCACCATGCAAAAATTATCTGATAAAGGGAAAACAAAACATTACCTGCCCAACCACATCACTACTTTGTGTCAAGGCAATAACAGTCAGCATGAGGTTAAACATCTGCTGGCTGATCTCCTTAATATCTGCTCCCATAAGGGTTAACATCGACTGGCAGAAGTTGAGCATCTTGTTGAAAAGCAAGAATAAACTTAATTTTTTCCAATATTTGCTTGATATTTTTTTATAAAATATACAATGTCATAAAATTGAAATAAAATTAAAAAGACAATTTATGAGAAAAAGACAATTATACCTGGGTATGCATCTTTGCTTCTATTGTGTGGGAGACATCTGGGTTAATGAGTGCATTAATCAGATCCACTTGGTGTGGCAAAAGAGCTGTTTTGGGCGTGCCTCTCACAATGGCAGCCATGGTCATGACAACACCATATGAAAGAGATTGTTGAAGCCCTGTCAGAAGAATTTTCTTCCAAATCTCAGGTTTGACAAAGTAACCCACAAGTTGAGCACTTCTCTGAACCTGGTGAGAGAAAGGAAACATTTTACTTTATACTTACAACAGCCTGAAACAAAAATAATAAAGCTTTTGTTGAAACATTAGTTAAATAAAAAAAAAAAAGAAAAATATTCAACCATATATTTATTAAATAATTATATTACATTGAATACTAATTTGTTAATTTTATAAAATAGAGTTAAATAAAAATTTAACAGTAAGAAAACAAACTTGAGCCTTACAATACAAAAATTTATATTTTACTTGAAAAACAACTGATTTATACATGGATTAGGAGTATGCAATTTTAAATAAGAACTCTGCATAATTAGACTTGTATAACACCACAGCCTCAAAACGAGTAGCTCTAACAAACACATAAACTTACATCAGTAACAACTCTAGGCTCCTCATCAAGGCAAGCTTTATATAAACCATTAAGTAAAGGCTCAATATGCTGGGTGGTGTACTCCTCAGCATTGATCAGTAGCCAGTACAGAAGTGAGGCACATTTTACGCGTGTTTCCACAACCCAGTCTCCCAGATCACGCACCAAACCAGGCAGGATCTTTGACAAATGACGATGTACAAGCTCTCTACAGCCAATATTTGGTCGGTCCACTGAAATTTTTTGAATTATTTACAACCAAACATGTAAGCTATTTAGAAACAAAATAAGAAATGACCAAAGCTTACAAATTATATGAACATGTTACATGAATACGTTAATACTGATAGCATACATGATGTATAGGTATTATGACATAAGGACAAAAAGATGGTAAATGTCATTTCTCACCTCCTTGAGGATAATGACTAGGACATGGTCGTTGAAAATCTAGTTTATCTTTCAAGTCATTTTCATTTTCTCTTTCATATTTCAGGCCTGTTAAATAGAGAATGGTATAGATATATAGAACAATAGAAAGAAATTAAATTAACTTTGGCATGAATTCATCCAAAATAATTTGAAAATGTATTCTCAAGTTAATAGTACAAACAGTTTGATATCTGATGACTACATACAAACCTATGTCATGCCAAAGTCCTTCTGCCAGCTCAACTATATCCTTCTGGTCATCAGATAAACTGGTCAGTAGGAGTGGGATAAGCTTGTGATGATAGGAATATCTGTCAGGTAAATCTAATAACCAATCTCCCACAATTTGTGTAACAGCTTTACGTACTCCAGGTGTCTAAAAGAAAAACATAATTTTATTGAATAAATATCCAGTGAACTGTACAGTGACTAGTATTTTGTTCATGATTGTTTTTCATAACTAAATTAATATAATCTTACAAACATGCGCTAAACAGTAATAAAATAAATTTTACCATTGTATCTGCAAAAAAATAAAAAATCTATTGTTCTTACTTGATCAAAAAGACGCTGTGCTAAATGTGGAATTACATCTTCAACAGCTTTTCCATTGCTGCACTTCAATACTGTACCTACAATTTTATATAAATTATTAATTCAACAACAAGTTGATTTTAATACTGAATGCTTATAATTAGTTTTATAAATATTACTGATGGATTTTCTCAAGTTAAAAGAAAAAATAGCTTGTTGAAATGATGGAGGTGGTAAAAAAAAAATAGGTTGAATTTTTAGACCAACTATTCCACAGTGCTTGAAATCTTTTAAATTGCCTAAGAGAATACAAATTAAAAAACAAATAAAATATAAATACTCACCTATTGTTTCAACAACAGTTATTCTTACTCTTGAGTGCTGGTGTGTTATTGACATTAGTAAAGGTTTTACTAAGCTTTCTGATTGCATGTAAAAATGTCTTGGGCAAGATACAGGTAACAGTGAGGCACATTTGCAACTTTCTTTTTTAACCTCTGGAAAAGGATCATTTATGGTCCTTTGAAGAATTTTTACACAATCATCTGTGTAAATTCCAAATTTCTCACCACTTTTCTCAACTAGAAATGTAAGCAACTCCAAGAGTTGTGCCCTTATTTCTTCTGCTGTCTCTACTATTTCTTGTTGTCCGAGACGTTGAACTAAAATTGGTATTGTATAAGAGAGGTAATCCTCTGGATTCTGAACACATTTTAAGTAAGAAAAAACGAGATCCAAGGAAAGTTCTCGACATTTTTCCACTGGATCAAAAAATGATTTGAGTAAAGGTTTTAATAGTTCAGTAAATACTGCTTGAAGAACTGGAATATCTAATGGTGGTGTTCTTTCAACAGTTTCTTTTTTTATGTTTATCAAGGCATTTCGGCGAACATTTCGGTTGTCCTCGCCTAAACAATTTATATATCTAGCAAGTCCCTGAACAACAGCGTTGGAATTTTCATCCATGGCAGCCATGATGTTGATCGCAACGCCTCGTTTTGGAAATAGCATTAAAAATAAGTTTCGGAAAACGAAAACAAAAACTATAGATTGACTTCGAAACGAAACTTACTTTGAACTCAAAATTAAAAATAACAAAAGAATTACATAATAAATTTTTTAATAAGAAGCGTTTATGTAATAATGCACTAAAAAGGAGAAAATATTTTTTTCTTTAAATATATAACAATACACTAGTATTTAAATAACTATATAGAAAAGAGTGGATCACTATATTATGTAATATTTAGGAAGAGATTAGGCCTATAATCTAGATCTATATTTTGTAGTGGCTAAATTACAAATTTAGATGTAGACTGATCTGTATAAAGATCTAAATGGCTATTTATTCTAATTAATGAGCACATAGATGACATTGACTAGCTTATTTAATTTAAGTTACCTTCGTCTACACCAGGGGTTCCCAACCCCGTGCCCGCGGGCGCCATGGCGCCCGCCGAACGATTCGTATGTGCCCGCCTCTCACTATTCGACAGAGACAGATTTTTTTTTCATAAACATTATTGAAAGGTTGAAGGGGATGGAAATCGAAAGTTTGAGGGGGGGGGGGGGGTGCAAATCGAAAATTTGAGGAGGGGGGTGCAAATCGGAAGTTTGAGGGGGGTGCAAATCGAAAGTTTGAGGGGAGGGGTGCAAATCGAAAGTTTGAGAGGGGGGGGGGTGCACATCGTAAGTTTTGTCCCCGGGTGATGGGAAGGGTCGCTACGCCTCTGGAAGGAGTTTGTCGATTTAAAATAGGTGGTGCCCGCCACCCTACCGTTATTTTAGAATGTGCTCTAGAGCACGGGTTCCCAACCTGGGGGTCGCGACCCCCCTGGGGGTCGCGAAGGTCTTTCTGGGGGGTCGCCAACTGGTATACTAAACCTTAGTAATTTGAAACAAAACATAAATATTTAGAAGAATTTTTGAAATTCGGCTTTATTAACATCACTGGAAATGTAATAGAGAAGAAACAAAGCGCACTGTACAAAGTTGTACACAGTCACGAATCTATGAAATCTTCAAAACTAAAACGTCATTTGAGACGAGTCATTCGGAAACACCAAAAAATATATGGAGTTCTTTCGTCGGTAAGAAGCTAGTAGCAAACGCCAGAGACTTGATCGAACAGGAAGTTTTCACCAGCATTAGTGCAAGCATCAAATGAAGTCGCGATAGAAAATGCCAAGCAAAAAAAAAAAAAAACAATAGGAGAAAATCTCATCAAACGCTGCATGTAGCCTACGTACATGTTAAATAACACATTTTTATTGAAATTAAGCTTTCACCATTGTTTGCTATTCAAGTTGATAAATCAACAGACGTGAGTTCGTGTTCGCATTTGCTGGTCTGTGTCTATATTCATGCGGATGAAAGCAAAGAAGAGTTGCTCTTTTGTGAAGATAGCATGGAGAAAATAAATACCTTTTTTGAAACTGGGTGATTAAAATGGGTTAGAACGGCTGTGGGGTTTTGTACGGATGGTGCGCCATCTATGTTTAGCTCAAAATCGGGCTTTCAGAAAACAGAAAAGATTTAGCTCCATAACCACTGCCCTAACCAATCGACATCAAGAGTCCATTGCTAGTATAAGTCGTAAATTATATAAAATCTGGAGCCTTCAAAGAACTGAGCAAAAACATTAATATAGATCACGAGGTTCTGCTCTTCTACACTACAGTATGCTGGCTGTCAAACGAAATGTTGTAAATTGTGTTTTTGAATTGAAATCTGAAATCAAATTGTTCTTGGAAGGAAACAAGACTTTTTGGTATACTTAAAACGACATAGAGTGGTTGGAGAGAGTATCATACCTAGCAGATGTGTTCGAACATCAAGATAAGCTTAACCTGAAGCTTCAGGGAAAATGAACGAATATTATAACTTTCCATGATAATCTCTGGGCATTTTTATCAAAGCTGCACAATCGGTAAAGAAAATAAATCTTGGAAATATTGTAAATTTGAGAAACTCTGCGGTGTGGTAGATGAAACTGATTGTGAGATAATTAAAATTTTGAAAGAAGCGATTTCTGGGCATCTTGAATCTCTTGAAAACGAACTGCATCGCTATTTCTCTGAGCTGAAAAAAGAAGAATCTGCATTTACGCATTACCCATTCTCTTCTTCCCTTGATGTTGCCAGCATTCCCGATGAATTACAAGATGAATTCTTTGATTTGCAGAATGATTCCGATTAAGATGAAAAACTGCAGACACAATTTTGGTGTAGTATTCACCATTCATACACAAACGTAAAATTGATTGACTTTTCGAGAATATATTTTCAACACTATTCTTCGATTAAAAACAAAATTAAGATAATTATAATGACATAGGTTGGCGTTAACAATTTTTTTTTTTTAATTAAAAAAAACTTAACCACGAAGGTTTAGTGAATAGTATGCAATTTTACTCATGCTATTAAAACAGTTATCAAGAGTAGTTCATATCGAAAGTCTACTAGAAAATCTTATTTTAGTGCTTATTAATTTCCATACTAGTTTCGGCTTTTTAATTCTATGGGGGTCGCAGGTCACTTACTTTTTATAATAGGGGGTCGCCACTCGAAAAAGGTTGGGAACCACTGCTCTAGAGTAAAAAAAGGTTGGGAACCCCTGGTCTACACACTGCGGGCGTTAGGCTATTGGTCTAAATACGTTCTTATTTTTTCAAACATCATAGACCCACTTGTTTTGCCTAAATATGATTTGGCATTATTATGTATACGAACGTTGTTTGCACAGTTTTTACCAGCATTTAACTTACAATTACATACAATAAAGAATACGTTTTTCAAACATATAGGCCTATTTAGTCTACATAGGTCAACTAAGATTAGGGGTCGTCCATAAATGACGTCACACTCGTAGGGGGGAGGGGGGGTCCGTAATTTTGTGACGATGTGTGATGAGGGGGAGGGGGAGGGGGGTTTCAGATGTTGCGACGTCACATTTTTGCAATATAAAAAAGCAATGTTAGAAAACGAATTTTAGACGTTATTTCGCGTTTTAGATAACTGTTTTAACAAATTGTAATAGTTTAGACAAGATTTTGGAAAAATATCGATGTTTTAAAAAAAATTCAACTGCAATTTTGAGGGGGATTGTAGGTTGAGGTATGACGTCATTTTAGGGGGGGTCTGGCTTTTTGTGACGACGTGTGACGGAGGGGAGGGGGGAGGTAAAAATCGTCCAAAAAAGCGTGACGTCATTTATGGATGACCCCTTTAGCATCAATAAAAAAAAAATTAAATATTATTATATGATCCGAAAATGCGACGACGATACTTAAAACTTTTAAATGGGGAGGGTGGGGGGGACGACGACGACGACGACGACGACACTGGTTATAGTATATAATATTTTATTATATCTATTTCGTCCTTGGGGGTGGGGATCTGTAGACGCGCTTCAGGGTGCGTGCACCCCCCCCCCAACGGAAAAGATATTACTGATCACTGTACTGTGACGCAGTGGCGTAGCGAGGTCGGGTGTCACCCGGTGCGGCACTTAATGGTGTCACCCCCCCCCCCCCAGAGGCATAGAGACCCTTCCCAGGGACAAACTTTCAAATTTTCGATTTGCACACCCCCCCCCTCAAACTTTCGATTTGCACCCCCCCCCCCCTCAAGTTTTCCATTTGCACCCCCCCTCAAACTTTCGATTTACACCCCCCCCCCCTCGAGTTTTTCTCTATATATTTTGCTATTTTGTGCCTTGGTGTCACCCCCCTAAATGGTGTCACCCGGTGCGGTCCGCACCCCCCGCCCCCCCCCTCGCTACGCCCATGCTGTGACGAATACTGGTAATACTTTATTTCAAAATAATGTTTAGAAAAAGTCAACTGTTTCAAGGGCTGATTGCAAAAAAAGTAATCGTACTTTTTCTGCAATACGATGAATCCCAATGTAACAATTTTACATCCACCCCCTACCCATAACTAAATTTTCTCGTGTGTATTTATGTTTTCCCAGTATTAAATAAAACTCATCATTTCGTTGTGATGAATGTATTTAAACCATACAGTTGCCGACTTTCTTGACCCCCCTGAAGTTGAGCGAAAATATTTTTCTGTAAGTTTATTCAACTTTTTCCCTCATATATGTGTATATGTATTTTTCTAAAACAGTAAACAAAAAAATTATGTTCACCTGTACAAGAAAGAGATGACATAATCTCATCTTCCTACTATAAAACTTGAAATCGATAGAACAGAAAACGATTCCTAGTTCTTTTTTTCCCCCCTTAAAAATAATGAAGAAAAAAATAGATATAATAATATCAAGTTTCCAGATACGTCATTGACGTCATCCCCTATGAAGCTTTTGCTATCTAAATCCTAGTCCTAATCCCAATCCTGGCCAGAGCCCTAACAATGTTTCTTCCTGACCTTTTTTTCCGGGGGGGGGGGGGGGAGAGCGGACACTGGTAAAAGTATATGTTTTCTGTATGAATTCCATTTACTTCGCAGGGGGGGGGGGGGGGGGGGGTTAGACTTTCTGCCCCCCCCCCCCCCCCCCCCCGAAGAGATGCCTAGAAGAAACTCTGAGCCCTAACCCTAATAGCTGCAGAAAAAAAAACCCCCACCCGCTTAAAGATATTATTGGGTTGGTTACATTTTTATTTTATTTACAAGAACTCACATAAAAATCGGGTTTACATTTCTTTTTATTTCTTCCCACCTGAATGTAAATTTAACAAAAATCTCCCCCGGAAAAGTTTTTATTCCTACCCACACCTGAAAGTAAATTTAACGAAAATCTCCCCCGAAAACGTTTTTATTTCTACCCACACCTGAATGTAAATTTAACAAAAAACAAACAAACAAAAAACAAAACCTCACAGGAAGATTTTTATTTCTCCCCTCACCTGAATGTAAATTTAACAATAAAAACAAACCTCCTAGGAAGATTTTTATTTCTCCCCTCACCTGAATGTAAATTTAACAATAAAAACAAACCTCCTAGGAAGATTTTTATTTCTCCCCT